TTGATTGGTTGGTTACGTCTCGCACCCGCCCCAACTAAGGACCAGCCCACAACCCAGGCATGTGCCCTGACCAGGAATGGAACCCATAACCTTTTGCTTTGCAAGATGACGCCCAGCCAACTCAGCCACACCAATCAGACTTTTGCAACCATCCCTAAGCAGACTTAAAGGACTCTTAGGATCTCATCTTGTAGAGGGGTAATGATGTGAGATGAAAAGGGTTACTCAGACCTGCCCTGGGGCCAAGACCGAAGCCTTCCCCATGAATAGGCCTTGTTTGTTGGTCCTGCAGAGAGCTATCCTCACCTCCTTGGGCACCCTGCTACTTTGGCCTGCCATTGTTAGGGGGCTGACCCTGGGCAGCCCCCAGTCTCCACGATTCCCCCTTGATTCCCATTATGTGCCACACCGTCAGGGCAGGAGGGGTCTCGGAGGCCGCCCAGATCCCTTAGAATGGAAACTGAGCCCAGAGCAGGGCTGTACCCCAGTTCATTTCTCCTAAACACAGAGCTACTCCTGTCCCCTCTATTATTTAGTCCAAGCCTTCCTGGCAGGTTCAGGTTCTGCCCTGTTGACCCTGGGGGTGGGTGTAACTTCCTTCCACTGAGGCGAGCCTCAACCACCAGTACTGCATCTTGAGCCACCCACTGCCCCCTTAGGCTGGGCAGGGTGGAGTACCGGACTGGTAGGTGAGCAAGGCTGGAAGGGAGGGGGGAGGGGGCCCCTCCCATGGCTGGGCAGTTTTCCTCAGGGGCTCCAGATGCCACCTTTTCTCTCTGGACAGGGAGTAGGGAGCCCTGGCCCTCTGTCTGTCCCTCCGTGGACAGGGATGGAACAGGTTGCTCGTGCAGGCTCCTCCACCTCCGTGCTCCTATTTGAGCTCATCCAGTGATTCTGCTCTTGATCCAGAGCTGTCCCTTCTTAGCTAACTCTGGGATTCCTGGCACTGTTCATGTTGCCAGCTCTCCCAGCAACACCAGCAGTTGGTAGAGCTATCTAGTAAGAAGCCCGCGAGAATGTGGTTCATCCTTGGGAGGCAGGGTTATATATATATGTTGAAGTCCAAAGTCACCTGGCCATGTGGAGGAAGAGGAAGTGGAGGACCCAGAGCCCTTGACCAGGAGGATTTTGCCAGGCATGGAGTGAGTTCCTGTTTACCCGTGTGTCTCCTCCAGGGGCCCCTGTGCTCCCTCAGGCTGGCACACAGGACATCGGTTGATGGACAGACAGTACACACTTTGGGGGTGGGGGACATATGATGGGCCTCCTCCACATTCGCTGGGGCCGCTTCCCTGGGAGAGTCACAGGAGGGCAGGGCCGAGCCCCCGTTTTACCTAGTGCCAATTCTGGCTGAGACCAGCACAGCTTGCCCAGTTGCCCAGTTGCCCTCACCCATGCAGCTTCCTCCCTCTCCTGCTTTGGCTCTGGGCCGGCAGCTCCTTGCTGCCGTGCATATCTGAGCCTTGAGCCAAGCTCTGAGCTCCCGGGTGCTGCCCCAAACCTCAGGTCCCACTGTGTGCATGTGGGGGTGGGGTGCAGGGAGCCCAATGTAAGGCCAGTAGTTAGGACCCTGACCAGCTTGATTCCTACTCTGCCCTGGGCTCTGCCAGGGTAGGGCAGGGTAAGGCTTGGGTGGCTTCCAGAAAACCAAGGGGTCTGGGGTCTCTGTTAACTCAGTGGTCAGTTGCTGGCCAAGGGCCCCAGTCCTGCCTGACCCTCCTCTTTATCCTTTGGTCACCCCTCCCCCATCACAAAGGTTTTTCAGCCACACCCTTTTTACCCAGCCCTGGGGACCTTCGACTTTTGCCTCCCACTTTACTCTTTCCTCAGAGCAGCTGGCAAAGCCTAGGATGCTTCTGTAGCAGGGAAGACGATGGTGTCTGGAAACAACCCCTCAGCCAACAGCCAAGGTTTGGGGTCTGCTCGGCCTTACAGAGACAACGTGGTCAGCGAGCCCCTCTTTCTGACAGGTGGGATCAGCAGCCACAGCCTCGGCGGATCCCCACCTTCCCCCACCCGCTCCCCACACCTCTATCTCCAGTCTGTCACAGCACACTGCGGAGCCCGCTGCCGCCACCTCGGGCCCCTGGTTCTTTCCCCCTCTCCCTGGCAGGACCCGTGTTCACTGCATCTCACCAGCATGTTGCCCCCTGCCTCTTGGCTGGCTCCTAGCAACCATTCTCCTTTAAGATACGGAACCTGTTTCTGAAGCAGAGATGCTTACTAAACTCTCACTGGCAGCACGGCCTCCAAAGCATGGCCTCCAGTGCCCTCCAAGACGGGGCCCCGCCACCCTCCCTCCTTTGCCCTGTCTCTCTCCCGCCACTTGCTGCTTCTCCTCCACCTGGACATGCCAGCCTTCCTTGCCTGTGCTGTTCCCCCTTGGTTATCACACAGGGTCACTCCCCCGCTCTGCTACGACTCCTCAGCACGCTCCAGCCCGCCTCTGATGCATATAGTGCTGCTTGTCACTGAGCTGTTTCCTTCACTTGCGTCCTTGACAGCAGGGACATGGACCGACTTGCTGGGTGCTGGGCCAGAGGAGGTACCAACAGGGAGGGCAGATTTCACAACTGGTAGGGAGAGAGAAAAGGAGACACCAAGGAATCGGCCTGAAATTGAGGGGGGCTTGTACACCCTACAGATATCTGGGAGAGCCAACACCAGCCAGGGGTGACCAGCAGCCACAGAGACTTGAGGTCCTCGAGGGAGCCCTTCTCATCAGCCTGGGGCCCGGGGCATGGCCCCTCAGACACCCTGTGGCTGAGCGGAGAGGCCCAGATGCTAGCATCCACCAATTCAAAGCCAATATCTGAATCTGCAGACTTGAAGGACATCAGAGGCCGTTAGAGAAGGACCCATTGAAAATCAGGGAAATGCCTGGAGAGGCTTGGAACTGCTCCTGTGTCACGGCAGGGACTCACCAGGTCTCCCAAAGCCTGGTGCCAGCCCTTCCCAATGGGACCCCAACCTGGGCCAGCCAGCCCTGTCCACTCTGCCCAGAGGTGCCACCTCAGATTCCACGTCTTCCGAGCGGGGCTCTGGGCACAGGGCCCTCCCACCGCAGCCTCCTCTGCCCCTGCCCTTCGTGTAGCCCAGGCAGCTACAGGGGGACCTCTACCTGCTTCCTCCTTTCCTACATCAGTTTCCCGTGGAGCCCAGGGCCTGTTTCCTATGTAGGGAGTGAATTCCTTCCCTCTCACCCAGCCCCTGCCCTGGCTGTGTGCCAGATGGTGGCCTGAACCCTAGGACTTCAAAGTGACTGCCCTCAGACCCCACTCCTATAGCACTGACAGCACCCCAGGCCCTGACCCCTGCCTGCCCCAGACCATGACTCTGGACGCAGGGCCTGAGACCCCTAGACTCTCTCTCCAGACCATTTGCAGCCAGGCTGCCTTGAGCAGCTGTGTGGTCCCTGGGCTCAACTGCATCCTTGCCCTCCTCTTCCTGAGGTCCCTCCAAGCCCCCTTTGCAGCGCTTTAAGCAGAGGAACCCCTCCCCACCCAGCCTTCCTGTCTGAGCTACCCAGCCCTCCCCTGCCTGTGGCCACACAGATGTCCCTTGCTCCTCCAGGACCGGCTGTGTGGACTAGGGCGTTTCTTTACTTCTTTGAAGCTCACCTGAGCCCAGTTAAGCAGGACTAACCAGAACTCTTCCTAGGCTGATGTGAGGATTACCTTGTCAAAGGCTTGGCATCAGCTTTCCCACACTTCAAGGGCACTAGCAGCCTGGCTACACCTCTCTCTGACAGGTGGGAAGATGAAGCCACACCGCTGGAGGCCAGGGCCATCCCACTGCCAGCTACAAGGTTGCTGGTGATCAAAGCAACAGCGAGAACTAGACGGGCTGACTCTGGGTCGTGGCCGCAGGAGTGTGGAGGTGTCCAGGATACACCTGAGACGTGGGATGTGTGTGTCTGGGAGGAGGACGGCAGATTAGGAGACTGGAGCTTAGGAAATGAAAGGTGGAAGGGTGGGTTCAGCCCCAACCTGTGCTGCCAGCTGGGTCGGCACAGCCTTCCTGGGTCCACGTGCTTATTTCCCAGTTGGCTTCCCTCCAGGTCTTGTAGAGCCTCTGAGGGCTGAGACCTGCTTTGGCTTTCTTCCTGCTCCACGTGGTAGAATCCCAACAGGGAACCCAACAGCACCAGACAGAGGGAATGAGGGAGCTGGCAGCGTCGGGGGCGGTGCTCCCTGAGAAAGCAGGGCCGTGGGCTTGGAAAAGAAGGCAGGAGTGTCCTGCCACAGCCTCAGGTTGTGGCACCTTGTCTGTGGAGAGAGTGTGTGGTCTCCCAAACTCTGGAGCACCTGAGACTGGGCTCCGAAGCCCCATCTGCTCTCTCCCTTCCACAGGTCCCTCTGAGCCCTCCTGGGGCCGGGTAAGAGGTGGGTGGGCTGGACAAGGGTGGACCAAGGGGAGGGCCAAGGTAGGTGTGACTGTCCCTGCCCCCCCCCATCAAGGCTGGACCTCCTGGAGTGCCCATTACCCTCCCTGTCAGGGTCTTTGCCTCTCTTCCTCAAAAACCTAATCCCGCTCTCAGGCGGCCACCCTCAGGCCTGAACGCTCAGGGCCCATTCTGCACGTGCAAGCCTGCAGGGAGGGAGCATGGGTCCTCCGACGAGACCCACCTCCCCTCAGAAAGTCACTGCACCTCCCACACATGGTCCTGTCCCTCTCTAGGATGACAGAGTTATGATGAGTCAGTAATAGCTCCCAGAAGTCCCCCTCCCCGAGCCCTGCTGTCCCCTTCCACCTGACCCCAGCCAAGGTGTCCCTGATTACTCAAGCCTGGAGGTTTGATTGCTAATTATAATCATTATTTCTCTCTTAATGTTGACAGTGGGCTGAAGAGCGAGGCTGAGCCCTGCAGTGGATGCACTCACAGGGCCCAGCAGGGGGCTTGGCACACAGCAGGCCCTCAGCAAGTTCAAGGAACCTGTGAGCCAGCAAATGGCACCAATCCCAGGCCTCCACAAACACCAGGGTCTGAGACAGTAGCAGGCAGTTGCTTTGAACTTTATTTGAGAAAAAAAAAACAGAACATATATCAAAAGAGCATATAGACTAACAGGGAGGGATGGCCAGTGACTGCAGGCCTAAGGCCTTCACTTGGCTCCAGGCTGCTCAGCCTTCCCAGCTTCTGGGCCCCCAAGCTGGGCACGAGCCTCAAAGGTGACAGGGATGGTGATCTCTGCTGACTGGTTGGCTGGCTTGGGCATCGGGGCCTCCACAGTGAGCGTGCCCTCAGGGGACAGGGAGGAGGACACCAGGGTGGGGTCCACACCAGGAGGAAGCCTGGAAATGCAGAGAAAGAGAGGACAAGAGTCACACACAGTTAAATCACTGCACCCTCCTCCGGCCCCCCTACCATCGGGCCCAGGACTCACGTGTATTTTCGAGTGAAGCACCGGGAGATGTAGCCGTGCTCATCCTGACGCTCTTCGTGCTTGCCTGGGAAAAGGAAGGTCGTCAGAGTGGGAGCGAGAGGCCGCCTCCCAGGCCAGCCTACATGCAAACACGCCCCACCTGGTGGCCTGAACTCATGGCGGACCCAGAGCTGGTGGAGAGGTTTGGGGGCCCAAGACTGTCCCAGGCCCTCAGAAGTTTCTGCAAAGTTTGGTTGTCTGGCGCACACGCCCCCTCCACGGCCCGGGATGGGGCAGGAACTGCTCTGGGGAACCTGATTATTGGGGCAGGCGGGTGGCTAGGAAGGAAATCTCCCCTGGAAGGGCGATTTTTCTACTAATAGAGCGATTTTTAAGGTCGAAAGTTCCTTTAGGAGCTATCCACACCCTCTATTCTGGAGAAAGGGGCACAGACCCGGGGCAGGGCCAGGTTTCCCACCCTGCCAGCTTCAGCCCCGCAGGGTCGGGGTGGGGGGTTTACCGGTGATCTCCACCACACCATCCTTGGTCTTGACCGTCAGCTCCTCGGGGGCGAAGTGGTTGACATCCAGGGACACGCGCCAGCGGTCGGCCGTGTGCTGGATCTCCGAGATGCCGCTGCTGAGTTGCCTGTTGAGCGCGTGGCCGTAGACGGGCGCAGCCACTGCCCGGGAGCCCTCGCCGGCGGTCAGCGGGCGCACGTAGCCCGGCCAGCCGCTGTGGGGGAACAGCTGCGACCATTCCTCAGGCAGCCGCGGCATTCCGAAGGCCTGGTCGAAGAGGCGGTTGTGAATCGGGTACCAGTCGCGGAAAGGGTCCCAGCTCGAGCTCCGCAGGAGCGAGAAGGGAACGCGGCGTTCGGCCATGCTGACTCGGTTCTGCGCTTCTGGCTGAGGCTCCGAGAATTGTTCGGCGCTGGCGCCAGCCGAGCTTTTAAAGGGCTTCAGCTGGATATTTTTAGCAGGCGGTGCTTCAGTTCTCTATTAACGGCAATGACTGGTTATGCAGCTCCTCCCCCTGCATACCGGGGCGGGGGCGGGGCGAGGAAGGCTCTACCCACATCTGGAAACTTCTTTGGTTCGGAAAAACACAAATGACTGAAGCACGGCTGCTGATGCAGTGCCCCCTGCGGGACACTTGCAGGCCTGGGTGCTAACGCGCTGCACTGCTACCTGTGGGCAGTCCCCCCTCTTATCCTGCCGGACAAAGCTGAGAGAGGCTTGTCCCACCCAGACCACGCAACTAGAAAGCAGCAGAGCCAGATTTGAACTACAGGGTATATGTGATAAAATGTCTTAAGAAGCAGTCTGGTGTGGTTTTTAGGGGTGTGGGCTGCGGAGCCAGGCTGCTTAAGTTCACATCCTGGTTCTGCCACTAGTGAGGGTTAGACTGTGCGCCTCAGTTTTCCCACCTGGAAAATGAAGATGATGGTGATAATGGTTATGTCATTGGGTTGGTATGAGGACTCAGTGACTTCATGCAAGCAGACTTTAGCCCAGGGCCTGGTATGTGATCATTGTTCTTTAGTGTTACTGTGTACCTGGAATTGAAGGGAGGGAGGAGGAAGGAGTGTAGTGCCTGTCCCCCTGGCAGAGGCAAGCGGCATGTGTGGGTCTGGCCATTGTCCCCTCTGTGGAGCAGTGGGGCTGATCCAGATGAGAAACCCCAGGTCCAGTGCTGAGAGGGAGGCAGGAGCAAGGGAGGTGATTGTCAATCTCTACATTATATCTATGTTGTGAGCAAGGGAAAATCACTGAAAGGAGTCACGCACACCATTTGTGTCTTTCCACAATGCCAGGTTCATTAGGGGAGACTGCCCCTATAAGCCAGTAGAGTCACACACAGGTCACACACAGAAGGGAGTTTACACAAGCAGAGCAAGTGTTCAGCGACAGTGTCCAGTGACCAGTGACCAGTGTCCTGGTCACTGGCGGCAGCGTCTGCAGGTGGAGAGGTAGACATCCTTCTCCAGCCAGGCTGCTATGGGGGTGGCCCGTGTCCAGTGAAGTAGAATTCAGCAGGGCTCTGGTCATGACCTGCGGTACAGCCAGGCTCAGGTGCTGCTGGGTGGTCGGCGTTCTGATTCTTACAGCCCACAGAGGCGGAGGTCCCACTCACATTGGTGTCCAGGTGGAATCCTTTCCCAAGCATTTCACTTGCGGTTTTGAGCCTTCCGGCCCCTCCTAAGGGCGTTCCCATGACCTCAGTCCTGACGTGGCACGTGACATAACTGTGCTGGCTGACAGCGACTCCGTGCTGGATTGTCACAGGGGTCCAAAAGTCTGCTCTGCACTTGCTCTGTACAATCTGTTTCCTTGAGGACAGGGAAGCTGAAAGGCGGCAAAGCTGAGTGTAGCCTGGGCTTTGCCATTGACTTACTGTATGATTTTGGGCAAGGCCCCTCCTTCCTCTAGGCCTCAGTTTCCCTTTTTGCAAATTGTGGTCCTGAATCCCCTTTTGTTTTTGATCCCTACAGTTCAACTGGAGAAGGGCTCCACCTGGTAGAGTTTGCTAAATCTCGCCCGTAGCCCGAGGCCTGCCCCTGAACCTGCCTCCTGCCCGACCATGTGTGGAACCCAGGCCCAATCTCCCACCTCCGGGAGAGAGGGGTGCCCCTCAGCTCCTGCCATAACCCTAACATTCCCTCTTTCCTGCCTTCGTAGGTGTGGCCCTGGTCCGCCTCCCTCTTCCCAACTTCTGTCCTATTACCGCCCCCCCCTTTGCAGGTGAGGAAACAGGTGGAGAGCGAGTGGCCCGGTGTCTCCTGTAAGACACCAGCTCTTCTGACGTGTAGTGCTCAGGACTCCCACCCTCAGGGGCTCCTTCCTTGGACTTCCCTGCTGCCTCTCCTTCTCTGAGACCCACTCTGCTCGTTGGCCCGCTCCTGGGGTCGAGGCTATTCTCCGTCCTTTCTACAGGAGGCCTCATTCTGCACAGGACATGTGAGAGGCTGGAGGCCAGACGGCAGGACACTTACCTCGAGGAACCAGGGGCAGCAAGTGTCACGCTCTTTCTGAGCCTCAGTTTCCCCTACCAGAGAGAGAGCTCCTGAATGCCTTTCTTTCTTACCTACTTGCCCTCCATCAGGGAAGGGCTGGGGCTGGGCCATGGAAATCTGAGGTCACCTCGGGAAAGGCCTCTGAGCACCTGGGGCTCTCAGGCCAAGGGTGCAAGGGAGACAGGACCCTGCCCTCGGCTGCACCTCCCTTGCTGGATCATCACGTCATGAGCCCAGTGGATCATAGTTGGGAGCTACTGGCTACTTAAGGGTCTCAGCTTCCAGAAGCCCCAGGCCTTCACTCCTTGGCACTCCCAGCCCCACCCATCCCCAGCTCTATAAAATCTGGATGAGGTCAGGAGCTAGGGAGGGCCCTCTTCTGCCCCTGCCTGCCACCTTGGCCCAAACTGGAGCCCAGGTGCCCCGCCCTAGAGGGAGCTGTCAGGTGTAGTCATGGATGCTTTCAAGTGCGGTCCTGCCAGGCCCAGCCATGCTTTGGGTGGAGGCTGCCTGTCTGGCTGCCAGCATTTTATAGACAAATGCTCCCTTCATCACTCCCTTCATCCTGCCTGAGACTAGGCAGGAGGATCCATGCCTGCCGCCCCAGCCAGGGCGAGTTGTGCAACCTGAGGGGCAACAACCCCAGCACCCTGCCCACAGCGTGTGGAGGAGGCGGAATGGAGAACTCACATTCACCTTCAGTGGACCAGTTCTTGAGGGACTCTGCCAATCACAAGGGAGGGGGCACAGGTGGCTCTGGGTCATGATAAGAGGAGGTGTGGTGTGGGAGAACTGGGTTTTGGGGTTGGATAGGCTGGGCTTGGATCTGGGTGCTCCTGTACATTGGCCTGGTGACTTCTCTGAACCCACATGTTCCTATCTGCAAAATGTGGCTGATAATGCACCTGTCTTGCAGGATTGCAGTGAGGCTCAAATGCAGTAATGCACGTGAAGTGCCCGGCACCCTTGCAGAGCAGTGTTAGTCATTATTGAAGAAAGGGGGCCTTCAATTTTGCATATTGAGACTTAGGCTAATGAGAACCACCCAGGTGCATGCCCTTTATAGGATATCCAAGTATCTCATCAGAGTCCCGTTATCGAAATGAGGAAACCGAGGGTCAGAACTGCCCAAGGTCACAAAGCTGGAAGTGGGTGTGAGGTATTGGAACTCAGGCTCCCTGAGCATCTGTCCTGCAGGGGACAGGCTTACCATGCAGTCTAGGGAAGGCTGTGGTCGGTAGGCTTCTGGGTGCAGGGTGCTTTATTTAGCCGAGGCTTGCCTCTCAGGACAAGGGAGGGTTGGGCCAGACTCTCTGGGGTCCCTCCAGCCCTGACCAGATGCCCTTCTTACAGAAGGTTGAACCCCTGAACCCAGGCACAGGGCTTGGCAAGAGAAGCAAGGGCTGAATGTCAGTCCCCACTTGCCCACCTGCCCAAATGTTCTTTGACAACTATCTGCTGTAGCATTCCAGGCACTGAGCTGCCAGGGGTAGTTTTTCTGGGATTAAGAGGACAGCTAACTCCTCCCCCAGGGATTTCCCAGAAGCCTTGGCGGTGGGGGAGGAGGGAGGGGAGGGGAGGTGGGTATTGCAGGGTCTTGGGTTACTTAATTGGAGAGGCCCCTCCCCTCATTCCTGGCCTCAAAGTCTGGGGTACTCTTCGGCAGCCCCAAGACCAGCCTCCCAGCCTGGCACTGTGCCTGAAACTTTGGACCCGCTAGCCACACCCTTGGCTGGCCTATGCCAACTGTGGCCGAGCCATCTCATCAGAGAAAGTTCGAGAATCTTCAGGCAGCTGCCAGAGCTCCCTGGAGAGGCCTAACAGCTGACACATTGCGCCTGTCACCAAGCCTACTGGAAACTGAAAACGTGGGCAGCAATAATTAGAGCACGTGGGGGTGGGGGGCACCAGGTCTTTCTGGAAGTGTCTAGACACTGCCCTCTAGGAGTCCATGCCCAAAATGCATTTCCAGCCTGCCCACCCTCTGGGCTTCTGGCTTCTGGATGGCCTTGGGATCACCTGGCCCCCACCATCACAGAAAGGGTCCAAAAGGAACCACGTGAAAGAAGACTCACCCTCCAGCCCCTACGCCCCTGCCGTCCAGCAGAGAGAATGCGTCTGGCCTGGGAGTCTGGGGAACCTGCATGTCTCTCCCTCTGTGACCTTGGCCAGCAGCCAGCTCCCGTGACTCATTTTCTTCATCTGTACAATGAGACCATGGGACTGGATGTTCTGTAAGACTCCTTCCAGCGCTGTGAATCAACAGTTTCTCCTCCACTTTCCCCCTCCCCCCGGGTTCCCTACACTGCCTGCTCTGCCGTCCAATGCTGCCAGAAGAGAGGGGGTGCGGGAGGGGGTGGACATGTGGCATCCTGCGGTGGTCACGGAGGTGGGAGGCCCTGCGGCTGGGGCACCCTCCTGTCTTAGTGGTCCTGAGAGCCTTTCTCAGGCGGAGGGGGTCCTGGAGAAGGGAGGGAAGGTGCTTGGTGATAGGACCAGTTTGTTGAATACCCCCTGGGCTGAGAGACCCCGGTGAGAGGCCAGGGGGCTTCCAAGAGCATCTCAGAGAGGCAGGGGATGAGGAGGGGGTGGTGCCTGCTGGAACACCCAAACCGGGCATGTGCACTTTTGACTCGCTTCCCTGGGCCTGGGAAACCAATGAAGGAAAACAGGACACGAGAAAGCCATGTCCGGCTGCCTGGCTGCTGCGTGTGTTGGAAGGGGAAAGACCGGGGGTGGGAGGGGTGGTCCTCGAAGCCCGCTTTTGTGGAGAGAGACAGACCAGGAGAGAACCTACTGCATCCCAAAGGCTCGCATCCTGGGAAGGTTCCCCGACCCCAGCCCATTTCCCCCTCCTTGTTACCAGTGCAGAACCGGAGTTTCCTGTTTTCCTGCATGCCTGCCTTCCTGTCAGTATTTTTCCCTTTTCCCAAAGGTACAGAACAGAGGCTGATCCCAGTCTGTGGGAGGGACAGGGGCTTGGTACCCCGGTACCCTCCCCATCTTTCCCTAGGGAACGGGCAGTGAGGGCAAGAACTTCAGGCCACCAGGCTGACTTGGACCCTCCCCCAACACTGTGCTCTTGGTCCACGCCTGTTTCGTGTTCCTCCAGGCTGACACCAACGGGCTGTTTTTTTACTCTGTCGCCCTCTAGTGTCTTCCTGCTGCCACCACACCTTGCCCTTGGGCCCCTGGCCTTCCCCAGGGTTTCTGGAACTTCTTATTCCCTGGTTCCCCTTGTTTACTCATTTACTCACTTGCAAACATTTCAAGAGCACCTATTTTAGGGGTAACAGAGACCAATAAAGCATGGGGTGGGCTCCAGAAAGCTCACATATTTAGGGAGAGAGAGACACGACAACAAACACTGGAACAAGAGCTTAAAGCCTTAAAGGCAAGAACAGACCCAGCACTGAAGGAACCCGGAGGCAGGGGTGGCCGCCACAGTTGGGGGCCAGAGGTTCCTCTGAGTAGGAGGCAGCCTAGCTGAGCCTCACCCGAACCTGTAGAGGTGAAGGGACATTCTTGGGGGACCCAGAGAGGAGGGTCAGCTAAACTAGGGTGTACCAGAGAAAAGGGAGGTTGGAGGGCTGGCGGGAAGAAAGGAGGGCTGTTGCAGGTGGCGCCATTAAGAAGCCTTCCAAGCCCTAAGAGCTGGTGGACTTGACCGCAGGATGCAGGGCCCACAGGGCAGAAAGTTCTGCTCCATCAATTCAGTGCTGTGTCCTCGGAGCCAGTGTGGCACCCGGCAGTACGTGTTCAGTAGGTAGGTGTGTGTGGAATGAGTGAAGAATGAAAGGTCGGACCTGCATCTCAGATAGAGCAGGACAGACCGGAGGGGGCAGGAGGTGGGCAGAGGAGGGGTGCTAGTGAGAGGGCCCAGGGTGGATGGGCCAGCAATGGAGGCGGGGCGGAAAGGGGAGAAGGGGTACCACCCAGGGTGCAGGGAGGAAGACCTTGGGCTGAGTAATGAGGAAGGGAGCAGGGAGTCGGGAGGGGCAGGTGGGGGCTCGGAGCGAGACAGGCTGCATTTTCACTCCCACCTCTGTTTCCTGGTCCCCCGCCCAGGGGCTGGCACGCCCAGGGGCTGGCACGCCCAGAGCAGGGCCAAATATGGGCTCCTTGGAGCTCCAAGAGCTTGTCTGAGGCCCAGTTTTGCTGAATTTTGTAAAGATTTAAAGAAGTAGGTACTTTTTTGAAGAGCTTTCTCAGATCAGAAATAGAGCCACTGGCCAAAGGGCTCCTCAGTTGCCTCTTCTAAGTCAGAGGGAAAAGAAAGAAAACTGGAGAGGAGGTCAGACACAGACACAGCCACTGGCTTCAGGGACACGGCCTCCCTGCTCTGGGGACCAGACCCGACCCGGACATGGGTGTCGTGACTGACACAGGCGGGAGCTGTGGACACGTCAAATGCTTCCTCAGCAGAGGTGGGCCGGTGGGCCCTAAAGGCTTAGTAGTGTCTGTGAGATCCGAAATTGCCTGCCAAATTGTGGGCGTGTCCCCATCTTCTGGGAAAAGGGTTCCCAGCCTTCATTGGGTTCCCAACAAGCAGCTGATTCAAAACCGGGTTCAAATCCACCACTCTGAGAGAAAAGGCACAGAAAAGGAGGAGAAAGAGGAAGGGGAGAAGGGAGGAGGGGAAGGGGAGATTTTGTGTATTTGTTTAGATCTATATAAAAGAAATACAACTGTCAAAAGAAAAAAGCCGCCCACTATTCCAAACTCTCCCTTCCAGGCCCACCCCAGTGCCCTGCCAGGACGGAGGGCAGCTTATCGAACACTTGCTCTTCGCCGGTCCTGGCGCCTGGCACTCCCGGGACAGTATTTCCCGTCGGCCACCTCTCAGCCCTGCCTGTCACACAGGGAGTGGGAGCCTGGATTCAGTCACGAGACACTCCAAACTGTGTTCTAGCCCATTCTGGAACATTCCACATAGAGGGAGGCTCCTGTGTGTTGGCTCAGTGTCTCCTCCCTCTGCCGCACCCCCACTCACTGCTGAAGCAAGACGGGGTGTGGAGGCTGAGGGTTGGGGGGATCTTCCTGGGTCCCTGTTTCCCTCCCCACTCAGCTGCAGGCTCTGCAGGCTCCTGCACAGTGGGGGGGGGGGGGGGGATGGAGGTGCCGGGCTCTGGTTCCTTGGTGCCAGTTCTTCTCCCTGGGTCCTGAGGAGTCTGAGCCCCTCTCATTTCTCAGTGGAAAGGGCCCCAAGACTCCATGCCCGTCCCACGCTCTCAAGGTACCCAAATCCACAGAGGCCTGGTCTCACCACCTGCCCTTTGGGCACTGAGTGTTTTATTAGAGTCCCAAGTTTTATCCGCACCGCGGAAAAAAAGGGAGTGGAAAGTAGAGAGGGGGAACCCGGACCAGATCCCAGACCCCTCCCCCCACCGGAGCCCAGGGCATGTGCCCTACTGGGCCAAGGAAGACTTTGTGAGATCCCTGAGGGCCCCAGGAGGAGGGGGCTGGGAGCAGCAGAAGAGGGCGGGGGACCATGCCTCCTGTCCATGCCCTAGGCCAAGGTCCTCAGTCTAGATCCTACCCTTTCTTCCAAGGGCTATAGCACCCTTCTCTGGGAAGCCTTGGCTGGCCGCACCCCCACGAAACCCTGAGGAGAAAGCGCTCCCTCGGGCAGGCCCTGAAGCCCACATGATCCTCGCCTGTGACGCTGTGCTGCCTGCCATCTGGCCCACATCCCAGACAAGGGGCACGTGGGGACACCAGGGCCTGCTCAGCCACGAGGCTGCACTGCTTCTCCCCTCTTCTCACAGGCTCTTCCTCCACCCGCCCTGCTCTCTTCCACCTCCTGACCCGGACCCCTTTTCATCTCAGTCACACTCAGTTGTGGTGTGTGTGTGGCCCATCTATTGTCATGCAGAAGGCCTGTTTGGTGTGGCCTTGGCCCAGAGCACGAGGTGAAGGCCAGAGGGGACAGACTGACCCGGCAAGGAGAGGCAGGACTGGGAGTGAGTGCCCGGTCCCCTCCTGGCACTCCTGGGCCTGGGGAAGGGGCTGGGGAGGCTACGGGGCCAGGGTCCTCCTATAGCCGACTCAGAAGGAAGCAGCTCCCCAGCCTGGATGGTGGTACACCAAGGGTTAGTCCGTTCTTCTAACTAATATCCTGCTTGCTCTCCCACCTCCTTGCCCGCATAGTGCTAGTGATGGGCCAAGGGCCCTGTGAAGTAGGTAGGGGAGGCTCCTGGGATTGGCACCTTTGGAGGTGTCCCTGGGTCCACTGAGCTAAGATCTCTAGCCTGGTGAGCTGGCATCAAGCAAGAAGCGGGGGACAGAATGATCCCTGTGTTCAAAAAGGCTCTTTGTTCCCTGGACATCGTGGTCAGGCAGCAGGAGGGGGTAGGGACCTTCCAGAAGTAACAGAACCCAGCTTCTCCTTGTTTGCAGGGCACCCACCTCAAGGTCTTCCCTGGCCCTGGGACCTCTTTGCAGCGGTAGGGTGCAGGCCTCCCCATGGGTCCTGGGGCCTGACCCCTTGCCTCTGCCTGTGCCAGGGGGCACCAAGCTAGGTCTCTAAGGGCTCAGAAGCCCCCACTTTCTGAGCTGCTCCGGCTGTGGTAGCTGGGACTGAGGGTCCGGGAGGGGCTGCGTGTGCGGCTTCGGGTCCCGTGACTGTGGCTGCTGTAGCTTCCGTGGCTGTGGCCAGGACTGGGGCTGCGGCTGGGGCTGCGGCTGGAGTAGTCACTGCTCAGGCAGCTGGAGGAGGAGGAGGAGGGGCTGGGCCGGTAGTAGGGGATGGGCCGTTTTCGGGCACTGCGGGGAGGGAAAAGCTGATTACAGGCCATCCAGGGCCCTCACGTGGGCCCCGAGCCCCTCCCCAGCAGTGGCCAGGGCTCTTCTGCCTCAGATGCCCTTGAGAACTGGCCTTGGAGTGCCCGACCAACAGGACCGGACAGTCAGTGGTCACTTGCCAAATTCATGTCAATCGTTTTGTTTTTCCTCATTTGTCTTTAGGAAAAGCCCGAATCTCAGCTGGAGCTGAGGAGGTGCTCAATAAGTATTTCTCGAATGAATATAAGTTTTAAATACAGACAATTCACATCAGCAGAGCTAAACAGTGGCTTCTGTGCATGGAAACATTTGCATATGTGGCCCAGCTCTGCTCCTCTGTTCCCCACAGAATGGACGATTTGGGTTTCTCAGGTCATGTAGAGGGAACAAGGAAAAGACCCCTGGCCACTGCTGCCCACGCCCACAGCCTGGCCCAGCCCCACTGGCTCCCTCTCCTCACTAAGCTACCTCCCGCCAACCCTAGAGTTAGTTTGAAGCCAGGAGACTGTGACCCAAAGAAAAGAAAAGAGAGTGGTTAGGGGGGGTGACAATGCCCCATCACGTGGGGTTAATTCTGAGGAAGAAAACAGGTGTGCGTTAGTGGGAGGAGGAGGAGGCAGCCTGGGAGAGGAGCTGAGGCGGGTGCCAGGTAGCAGGTGTGGGGGTCTGCCATCTTAGGACCCCCCCCATATATGGCTGGAGTGTGTCACCTGTCTGGGGGATGTCCCAGCCTCATGGTCTGGCCTCTAGCTCTGGGGGGAAGGGAGGAGGCAATGTGGTCATCAAGGACTAGGAAGAGCTGGCTGGAGAATCAAACCACGTGGGAGCTGAAAAGATGCTCAGGGAGGCCTGCTCACTGTTTGCACAGGGGAGCAAAGACACGGGGAGGCCCGCTGATCCCCCAAGGCTGCCCAGTAAGGCTGCAGCAGAACAGAGCTCAGAATGTTGCCTGAGGCCTTCTTCCTGGTGTCAGGGGTCTGGGACTTCTGGGTGATCTTTGCAAACACAGACCATTGGCTCACCTGGAGACCCAGGCCCAAACCCTTCCGCCCAGCAGAGACGCTCTGATGGTGGCCCCGCCCCTTGGACTGTGTGGGGGAAGTGGGAGGGTCGGGTTTCTCCCACAGCTGCCCCAGAGATCAGGCTGCTGTTGCCCCTCCTCCAAACTCCCCAGGGGCTAGAAGGTGAGCAGTGAGGTTAGTGAGAAAAGGAGAGGCAGACAGACAGCTGAACAGAGCCAGATCAGCTCACATGGGCATCTCCCCTGCAGCCTGTGGAGAGGGGGTCCACTTGGCCCCCAGGCTGGCCACAGGCCACGCAGCAGGCTGGACCTTGAGATGAAGGAGAAAAGGAGACATCATTGCCAGGAGATGAATGTGGGGAGGGAAGGAGGGAGGAACGGGCTCCAGGAGGGGTGGCTGGAATCTTCCACAACTTCATTTCAGGTTTGCAGCTTTCCGCTCGGCCTCAAGCACAGATTCCCCTTCCCCTCCATGGGCCTTCAGGCCCCCAGTGGGAACCATTCGTTTCTTGAGGCCTTCCTTCCCTCAAAGAACACCCACTTCTGTCTGAGTCCCGCCCCTCCCCAGCACCCCCAGTTCTAGCCTCCCTCCTCAGTGAGCCCTCTTCCTTCTGCTGAATCCCCCGCCTCCTTTCCTTCAGCCTTCTCCCCTCCCAGCGGGAGGTTCCGTGGGCCCACCCGGAGGTCCTAGGGGCCTTCACACCCTAGGTCCCTGTCTGGTCCCCTGGCTCCTCCATACCTGGTGATGCGCCGCGGCTCCATGAAGCTGGGCGAGTCCCGGCGACGCTTGCGGATGGGCGAATAGCTGCGGGAGCGGCGCCGGGCACGGGCGGCATCGGCGTCCGCGTGCCTCGCGCGGCCTTCGCCGTCCTTGTCCCTGCGAGGCAGAACCGAGATGAGCGCCACCGCCGCGCGAGGGCGCTCCGGGCCCGGCCTCTCCCCGGCCCCCCGCACCCCTCCTTCGCCCCCACCGCCCCGCGGGACCCGGGCCGCACTTACCGGCCCAGCGGTTTCTTGGGCGACGGTGAGCGGCTGGGGCTGCGGGCCCTCCTCTCCGCCGAGCGCGAGCGGGATTTGGAGGGCGAACGGCTGGAGCTCCAGGAGCGCGGGTTGGGGCCGGGGCTGCGCGACGAGCTCTTCCCGTCCGGGCCGCCGTGCCGGCCGTGCGCACCTGGGGACGGGGAGGTGCTGGCCGGCCGCGCGCGCGGGGGCCGCTCCTTGGCCCTGGAGGGGACAGGAGGTTCAGCTACCGAGAGCGCGGACTCCGGGGAGCGGAGGGGACTCGGGAGGGGCAGGGCTGATGCGGGGGGGCGTCGGCGGGGAGAGGACGGGGGGGGTGGAGGACGCAGTGTGTGAGCGCGGGGTGGACGGTTCCCTGAGGACGGGGGCGGGGCGGGGAGAGAAGCGAGCGAGGAAAGGGCCGCGCGCTCGCGTCGCCGGAGAGTGCTCGGTGCGTGGGCGAGGGACGCGGTGTCCGTGGGGAGGCCCTGCGGGCAGGGGAGCCACTCACCGTTTACCGTGCCCGCCGTGGCCTCGCTCCGAGCCGGGCTCGGGGCCGGGCGCCGCGCCGCCGCCGCCCGACTCGCTGCTGAGCGAACGCGACGACCCTCGGGGCGGCGCGGGTCGGCCGCGCCGGCGGCCCCTGCGGCGGGGCGCGGACGTCGGGGACCGTGAGCGCCGCCGCCGTCGCCGCCGCCGCCGCCGCCGCCGCCGCCTGGCGCGTCCGCCCGCCGCGCGGTCTCCTCGGCCCTGCGACGACGGCACCGAGCGCGGGCTGGCGCTGTCCTTCCCCCGCGCGGGCGACGTGGCTGCGCCGGCCTCCGCCTGGTCGCCAACCCTGGACGAGGGCGAGCTGGGCTTCTGACGGGGAGAGGGGCAGAGAGGGCACGGCGGGGGCAGGGGGAGGGGAGACGGAGAGGGACAGAGACGAGAGCAGAGACGGAGGCCCCAGACGGGGGAGAGGCGGAGGCGGACGGGCAGTGAGGGGAGACAGAACCGAGAGGAGGAATCCGAGAACGAGAGGAGGAGAGAGGACAGACCGAGAAAAGGAGCGAGAGATGGAGGGTGAGAGAGCGGGTGGGTGGGGTGGGGGGAGAGAAGGAGAGGGGGCTTTCACCGGGCCCAGGCCGGGGGCTGCCAGTCCCGGAGCATCGCACACACGGTTCCCCGCGCCTGCCCTGCCTCTGCCTCTCCTGCGGGTCCACCTTCTGGCCTCAACAGTGCAGCTCATGCAAGGTTCTCAGCATGCAAAACACAAGAGGGACGGAGCGGTGAGGGCTGACAGGGAGGGGCTCCAGGACGGGCACGGGGCTGGCATTGCCCCCCTGCAAGGGACGGACGATCCCAGCAGAGAGAAGAGAGAGGGCGGGCGCCGGGAGGCCCGACCAGGGCCAGCCCGGCAGGCCAGGCCCCCCAGCGCGTGGGGGTGAGTGAGGGCATGGAGGGGCACACGGCACACAGATGGGGTGGGGGCGGGACAACTGAACTCAAAACTAAACCGAAGAAAGGGAAGAAAAACAGAAATAAAAAACAAAATCCACAAATGTCATTAGATACCAAAATCAAAAACAATGTCTTAACTCCTGGGGAACTGACATTTTTCCTTTAACGTTTTTCTTTGTTTTCCGGCCCTGCAGAGACCTGTGGAGCTGTCAGCAGCACCCGACTGTCTTTCTGTTTCTCTCTTTTCTTTTTCTTTTCTCTTTTCTTTTTTTTTTAAGTTCTGATTTTTTAAGTCCCTCTTGGTTAACGTCCACTTACCAATAAAGTGGCACTTCCTCCTTTAGTAGGTAAGATGTGTAAGAGAAGGGAAAAGTGTGGTAGCGTAAGTTCATCATTAGATTCACAAAAATGCAAGAGAGATAGAGAGAGAGAGAAAAAAACTCAACCACCCCATCCTAGGCCTAGAGGAGGCCACGCTGCCTCTGCAGGAAGGGCTGGCAGCGCCTGGCTCCTCGGGCCTGAGCAGGCAGGCAGGCAGGCAGGCACCTCCTGGGTGACCGTGACCGCTGAATAGAGATGTCATGTTTTTCCAAAAGTGGACTTAGGACACAAGGATCTGCATACAGAAAACCAGAAGGGGCACCTGTACCTTCAAAAGGGCCTTGGCTGAGAACCAGGGTCCCAGAGCCTGCCGCTACCTTACTTGGTGACCCTGGCCAGGTCACTTCCCCCTCCTGGACCTTAGCTTCCCCATCCACAGAAGGAGAGTGTTGGGCTTTGCTTCCTGGTGTTCCTTGCAGAGCAAATATTCCAAGATTCTCTGCATGCCCCCTGACCGCCCTCTCCGTCCCCCTCCCTCCACAGAACTGGCCCTCCTCCTGTCCTTGGGCTTCCATGTGGTAACAGTTGATTACACTTGTCTGTTTATCACTCTGTCCCTCATTCCCATCCCACCCCCAATCACCAGCACCAACTTGACTTTGAGTACCTCCAGGGCAGATTTGGTGTTGAATTCAGCTCTGTAACCTGGGTCTCTATCACGGAATTTGGCACCTACTAGGGCCTCAATACTGTTTGCTGAGGAAGGAAGAATTGCCCTTACAAGAGCCCAGGCCAAACCAGGGAGTCTTAGGTTAGGGGCAGGGTCTGGGCCAAGTTCTTCTGACAGGCTCTTGAGATGAGAGAACAAAACCAGCTGCCACCCCTCAGGGTACCTTGCTGCCGCAGGCTGGAAGGAGTGTGTGGTTGACATGGCCCTGGTGCTTCCTGCAGGGACCAGGGTGGTGCCAAGGTCTTTCTGGACAAGCCCGGATCCAGCCTGGGCATGAAGGTAGAGCCAAGAAGTCAGCCCCATTGGTGGAGAAGCACAGCCAGCTCATGGCTGGTGGCTGAAGCAACCAATGAGTACCAACCATGGAGGTGAAAGCAGCTGACCAGAGCCAGATGGGCCATAAAGACCTCCTTCTGGGAGAGCCTGGCATCTCTCTTTGGGGCACAGGCAGGCATAGGGATGCAGAATAAGTATTGCCAGGTACCAAGACGCCCTTCTAAGCACACTGACCCTAGGCTAAGAGAGAGGGAGGCTGCATTGTTCAGCCACGGCCCCTCTGAGATGGCATTTCCATTCTCAATGGACATTACCAGAGACCCTGGGCTCCCCAACACACATGCCCTCTACCCCCTCCCCCGACAGTACAGCTCCCAGAGCCCCCAGCACTAGGTTCTGCCATTCAGCATCCTCTTCCTTCCTGAGAAGGCAAATGAGAAAGAACTCTCCAGGTTCCCCCAATGTCCAGTTTCTTTTCTATTCCCTGGGTTGTCAAAAAGTGTAGCGTGAACAGATACTGGGTGGGAGAGTGGGTGTCCGGGGAGCTAATGCATAGTAGCCCACACCCAAGGTGACGCTGGACCCTGCCTTTATAAAGCCTTAGCTTGCTACTTTCAGGGGCGGGGGGCAGCAATGCCAACAGGCAGAATTCTCAACTTGGGAACAAGGACCTCCATGTGAATTCTGCTCCAACCCAGCTCTGGATCTGAGCCACTACCTCGGACTCCAGGAAGAGGCCGGCAGGGTGGGAAGAAGACCGAGGGCCGTGAGGTCCCTTCCCACAGGCACTGCAGGGCTGTCTCTACGTCCCACTGTTGATCTGGGAGTATTAAGAATAAAAAGGACCTGGGTTGGGTGAATGTGCAACCCCAACACATTTCGGTCCCCAGTCATTGAGGGGCACGTCCCTGGGCTACACCCTCTGTGCTGATCTGGACCCTTCCTGCCTGGCACATCTTGAAGTCCAAGCTCTTTCCCATTTCCCTCTCACCTCCTCCAAGTCAACTGGTTGCCATGGCTCAAGATGATAGTAATTGGCAAGGTGAGCACACTGGAATCAACCCTGCGGTGAGTTTGCTGAGAGACGAGGAAGTGACTTAACCCTGGGGCCTCAGTGTCCTCGCTGGTAAAATGAGTATAACTGGGGTCTTTCTGAACAGGGTGGGTCTGTTCAGCGGTGGAGAGGTCTTTACAGAAAACGACCGACTCTCTGTTTCCTCAGAGACAAGTGGGGTCAGAGCAGGGCGGGAAGGCACGTGGGCCCAGGGCGTGTCCTCGGACTGCCAGGGGATGGTGAATGGGAGGAAGACGTTAGGTGGGGTGGCATGTAGTGCCTTCCCTGGGGGGAAAGGTCGTGGAGCTGATCTCATCTTCATCCATCCACCCCTCCAGAAGCCCTCATGAAAGGGTCAAAAGGATCCTGCCAGAGGGGGGGGCCTCATCCCCAGGAACTGAGGAAGATATACAAGCCCAGAGACCATGGGATCTCGTTGCCAGACAGGACTGTGGTGGCCAGGGACCACCAAACATCTCTGGAAGCCTGTTCTGAGTCCTGTCTCTCTTGCCTGGACCCATTCTCCCCTCTTCCCACTCTGACTCACAGCCTGACTAATGCTTATCTCCCCTCTACTGTCAGCCCAAGGCCACCACCTCCAGGAAGCCTGTCTTGAGCTGCACCCTGGATCAGGTGGGCTCCTCTGTGATCCCACAGAGCCCCTGGTTCCCTCCTTCTGTATGGACTGTGCCAGGACATGCTAGGGCTAGGGCTACTCTGATGAACAGAGCTCCCATTCCTGGTTCAGCTTTTCCTCTCTCATTGTTCTGAGTGGTCTTTTTGTCTGTCCTTCAGCCTGGCTGGTGGGGGCTGCAAACCCAGGTCTGCCTGTCCCTCCCTGGGCAGGGACACTCAGGCTGGGCCTGCCATGGAGGCATGCTCAGCTAATGTGTGCTTAGTGTGTGAGTGAGTGAGGTCTCTCCTGCCCCTGGGGCCCGCTCCCAGGAGCCCCTCTGGTCCTTGGTACCACCTGCTCCCTGACATCTTTCTCTTTTTTTTTTAAGTTTCTTCATTGTTTTAATGAGAGTTTACCTCGGGTTAAATTTATGTGATACCTAAAAAACGATTTGATTCAGTTAATTTGGAGAGAAAAATATACAATGGTATTAGGTGATCACTGACTTTCTATTCAACATCTTTTCTTTTTGCTTATGTAAGGAATCTTTGAGGTGAAAAGACAATGGGAAGAGAGTAGAAAGGAATAGTGTGCTTGGCTGAGCCTGGTGTTCTTAAAGACAAGAATAAGTGAGTGTCTGGAATGCTACCCCCTCCAACTCGGCTCTGGAGGGTCCTGTTTCTGGGTGTCTGGTCACATCAGGTAGTCCTTGCAGGTGGGGCCTCCACTCCCCCATCGGACCAGCAGCGCTTTCTCCCTCCACACACAATTTCCTCATCTGCCCTCCTGGCACCACCCAGGGCTGAAGAATGTTCTGAGTGGGTAAGCCCCTGAGGACCTGCTCCTGGGGTCAACAAGGGGGGAGATGAGGCCTTCTATTTGCAAAGCTGAGGATGGAGGCCCAGCAAGGCCTCATGAGTGTTGGGACGTCAGACTTCTGTGGCTGCTTCTAGGTGGGACGGAGACCGGTTTCGAGGGCAGGATGGGGAGCTGGTGTCCCTGAGCACCTGTGCCTGACATGTGCCCTCAGTGTAGTTAGATGCGCACTGGGCTGGAAGTCAAGAGTCCCATCAAGTCTGATTCTGCCCTTACCTTGGGGGTCCCTGGCCTTTACTGACTTTCCCTTCTGGATCTCTCTGCATATTAAGCTCAAATTCAAAAGATGGAAAGATACTGGGGGAAGGAGGGAGCGCCTGTCTGGATTGCGCAGTGGTCCATGGAGGCGGGGGTTAACTGAGAGTTCCTTCTACCCTCAAATTACCCCACGGAGACTTTTCTAAGTAGGGCCTTTGAGTCCAGTGCCTACTCCTGGCCAGCTCAGCCCTGCACCCAAAGTTCAACTGCCATCACACCCCAAAGATGGAGCTGTTGTCAGCCCCATGGTCCTGCAGCTCCCAGCCTAAAGCTCCACCTGCAGCCAGTGCAGGACCTGCGGGAGCCCAGCAGGCCCCACAGGCTGGGACAGGGTTCTTTCCCCAGGCCTGACCTCAGCCAGAACTTCCTCCAGGATCCGGAGGCCAAAAGGCCCAGCACAGGCCCCTCCACCAGCAAAGGCTCGTTGCCCAAGTGGGCCCTGGGGCTGGCAGGGGTGAGGGGTGGGAGGGTCAGCAGTTACTCCAGACACCAGAAATCAAATGGGCTCAACCACGGCATAGAGTTCAGGAAGGGGACACGGACTCGGAATGCTACCACACAGAAATGCATTCAGACAACAAAATGAGGAAGAGAGGGCATGAAGGGGGTTTGGGAGGTGAGAGTGAGGTGGGGAGAAAGAAGGAGGAGCAGGGAAGGTGGGAAGGAGGGAAGAATGAACCAGAAAAATTGTTGGGGCGGGGAGGGAGTCAAGAAAACCAAACGACAAAACCAGGAAACACAGCTTTGTAGCTCATTTGGAGAAAATGCAAGTTACAAATGAGTAGTCACTCAAATAAAGAAAAGGGAAAGGGAGAAAACCAACCAGAGCGAGACTGAGAGAAAGAGAGAGAAAGAAAACCACATTCAAACCAAGCAGAGTGGCAGGGCTTGTCTGGAGATGGGAGCGAGCGAGCGCACAGCTGAGCTGGGATACCTACCTTCTCAGTGGTCAGGGACGGGAATGCAATAATAAAAAAGAAAAGAAGGTCTCCGCATTGGGAATGCAGACAGGGAAAGACAGTGACTCTAAGCTGCGCTACCCCTGTGATCTGGCATACGGGCAGCCAAGCGTGGCTTTCGGTCTAGTCCCTGGGATGCCAGGGGGCTGCTGCCCAGCCATCACTGTTTGCTCCCCCACCCACCCCAACAGGTTCCAAAAAGCAAGCTTTTCTTAACTCTTTAAAGAACAGAAAACCTCCAGAGGGCATGCAGGAAGCAGCTGATGGAAGCAGAACCACGGGGTGGGCGAAGGAGTGGCTGGCAGCCTGGGGAGACAGGCCCATTTCAGGGGCGAGATGGAGAGAAACAGACAGACAGACAGACACAAGAAGAGAGAGGGAGAGAGAGAGAGAGGTGGACCCAGCCAGAAAGAAAGAGAAGCTGTTTACACAAGGCCAATCCGAGTGGACAGATGAGTTGAAAGGGGAACTGGGCATTTAAAAGGGAAGACAACCACAGTTTCAATTTGGAGGACCGATCCTGCCTTATGTCAACCTGACTCCCTTTCCCCGGGGCCTCAGCGCCATTTTACTAAAATTCATTCCTCCTGCTTTCTGGCTTCATCCGGGAAGAAGTGCCGAGGTATGCCTGCCTATTCTGACTGCTCCGCCCCAGCAGTGGTCGCTGCTCTTCCCTGGGGCTGTGGAGGAGAAAGGCCTCAGATGAGGCAGGTCAGGGAGTGCTGTGGGCGGAGGCACCTCTTCTTGGGGTCACCCTGGGCTGCCCATTCTGTGATGAAATTCGAGCCAGAGGCAGAGGTCAGAGAGAGTCTGGGGGCTTTGTTTAGGAGCCCTGTGTGGCCCTGTCAGCAAATGGTGAGACACTCCCCGTGCTAGGGACAGGCGGTGCCCAGGCAGAAGGCTGTGAGCCCCGCACGCCCTGTCTGCTGGGCCGTGGGCTCAGCGTCTTACTCTTCTGTCCCACACCTTATGCCCCCTATTTCTTTCTCCACGTGTGTGAGCTGTGAGGCCGTAGGGCTCCACGAGTTGCTAAAGCTGCAGTCACACAGAGTTGCGTGGCTTATGCAGTGCCAGGCTCGCCTACACCCTGGTCCGGTGTGGGCGGGCCTGAGTGCTGGGGAGTTGACAGAGCTGGGAACCTGCCATCAGCATCTGGAGGGGTCCCCATGGGGAAGGCATGAGTGGAGACTCCCAGCATCCACCTCCCAAGGCCTCCTCCTCCTGCTCAGGGCTCCTGGAGTGTGCCTCCCATTGGCTAGTGTCTTCACATCTTGACTGTGGCTAGGGGTCTTGTCATCAGAGGGTCTCCTTTTAGATTTCCCTCTAAAATGCCGTGTGACTCGAGATGGTCATTTGCTCTCTGTGAGCTGTGGAGAGCAGGAAGCAGCAGAACCCAGGAACCCTGCTGTGGGGTTCGGCCTGGGACGGGACCACAAAGAGATGTCAGGAGCCAGCGTCCCGCCGGCCTCAGTTGCAGGATGAGGATGGACCCCTGCCATCCCAGCTACTCTTGCTTGGGAGTAGCTGGCTTTGACGCCCTCACCTGAGCTAACTTCTCTCTGGAATGGGGTGTCTTCAGCTCCCTATCCCAGAGTCTCCTCAGGATCTGAGGCCAGGCGCGGAAGGTGCCGAGCAGACTGTCCCTGTCACGCCCGGCCTTCTTGTATGAGATGGAACTGAGGGGCCACAGGAAGCTCACTGCTCTGGGAAGGTCCCTGGGAGACGGGGACAAGTCTCTCCCTCCCAGCTTCTCTCCAAGGTTCCTTATAGACAGGGACCCGGAAGTGCCATCTGTACCCTTTTTGTTAATTTGGAAGCCAAGGCAGTCCCACCAGTGTGCCCTGTGCCCTGGGGCTGAGTGGAGGGGCACCCGGTGCTGCAGATTTGGCACAAGCTGACGGCATGGGAGTCAGTGTTTAGGAGTTATCTTCCCTTTTAAATTCTGATTGCGAAGGACGAAATAAGTACATAGAGATATGTGTGCGATTAATGTCCACTTGAGACTCAAAAACCATTTCTGCATTAGGAGGAGAGACTCCGCAACAGTAACGCACAAAAGCAAAATTCTAGAACGACAGAGAAAAGGGTAGAAAAAACCCCAGAGAGATAGTTTGCATTTCTGTACATTACAAAAGGGGGGGGAAAGGAAACAAAAATACAAACAAAAACAAAATAACAGAAAAAGTTACATGAACTTCCCACCCTCTCCCCTTGCCACTAAAGGAGAAATGGAATCACAATATTACCACGTTTCAAATGGGAGGCTAAAAAAAACAAAAACAAAAACAAAAACATAGACGGGGTTAAAAATGGTGAGCTTTTCTTCTTTCATTTGTCTCTCTCTCTTTTTTTTTTTTTTTAAGGTAGAGTCCAAGAATACCACCCCCAGTGCTTTTCCCAAGAAATGTTTTTGGTTAATGGCGAAGTCTGTGTCCCCATTTCACTTTTAGAAAAGGCTCCACGGGCGAGAGGGACTCTGTGTGCAGGTGAGAGGCAGGGACGTTCCGCAGTCCCTGGTTTCCCTGACCCCAGATGGGACAGAGGACTGGGGACCATGTTTTGTGAAAGGAGTAATGGAGGGTTGTCTCTTGGAAAACTCCCAAGGCAATGTCAGAATGGAGTCCTGTTCTGGGAGGGAGATGAAACTGGGGTGGGCCGAGGCTTTCTCCCCAGGCCAGAGGCCAGGCCACCTTCCCTGACCGTTTGGGTCTGGGGTCTGCCTGGCTGCCCTGGCCATTTTGTCTGCACTTGCCCGGGGCTCCTGTGTGGGCGGCGGTACCAAAAGTGGGAAGGGGTGTCCTTTTCACCCTGACTTGAAAGCACATGCTTTTCTGTACTTCTGGGGAGGGGTGGGGCCTGAGAACGTCAGGGCTCTGTGCCCATGGGGTGGAAGGGTGCCCAGGTCGGGCGTCGTGTCTTGGACTTGTCCCTGCCCTGGCTGCCCTGGCTGCCTCTGTGTGCCCTCTCCCACACCCTGGACAGACCCAGGGACGCCAGAGTGATCGTCCCCACATGGCTCAACCAGCCCCTCAGAGCTCAGGGCCTGGCACCCTGTCCAGTGGGGCAATCGCCAGACAGGTAATGCCCTTTAACAAAAATTAACCTTGAGACCAAGGGCCTTTTGTCAGGTGCCCTTGGCTTTCCAGGCTGAGGCCATGGACTAAGGGTATTTGGGTAAAGAAAGGAAGTGAAAGGAAAACAGCCAAAAATCAAAATGAAACTGACCAACATATACATGTTCACTGCTGAGACCTGAGATCTGGGGAGGGGCAGCCCCCCACCCCTGAGACTGCTGGGCAGCCTCTGGGTCTGGGGGAGGGAGGGAACTTGCAGGCTGCCCACCCCCAGTCCCGGTGCCCACTTGGTGCCCCTGCCGGTGCTGCAGCCCCTCCTCCCTGAGAGATCCTCTGCACTCTGCTAAGATCAACAAATGAAAGCAGGCTCTGGGCCTCCCCGCCTGGGGCCTAGGAGAACCCCCAGCCTGGCTCAAACTGTTGGCTGTGAGCTCCTACAATCACCCCACCTACCGATGGGCCTTGAGGAATCTCTGCCCCCTCCTGGAGGATGGATGGGGACAGTTTTGGGGTTCTTTTGGGGGGGGCGTGGGCTGTTGTTGTGGTCTCCCAGGGAGCAATGGGTACACTGGGAAGTGCCTTAGACACGACGGGAAGTGGGAGCTCCGGGTCTGACCTACCCAAGGGAGGGCAGTGCCTGGGAAAGGACAGACTCTCCCTGCAGCGAGGACTCTAGAACTGCGGCTCTGTTGTGGCAAGGGGACTGAGATGGGGGCAGGAGTCTGAGAGAGGGGTGGGGGCTCGCGAGGGGGTGAGGGACAGCGAGCACTCTGAGAGGGGGAGAGAACTGGACGGAGACAGGGAGGCTCGGGGCCCAAGTGATGCCCAGGGGAGTCCCGTCTGGATTCCTGCCACAGCGGCCCCGCCCCTCCCACCTCGGGATGCCTGGGGGAGGGAGGCGAGAGGTCTGGGTTCCTCCTCAGCTCCTTACCCAAAGGGCTCAGTGTCCCGGTGATCAACCTTTTCTGGCCTTCAGTGTGCCAAGCTCAAGGGTGGCCCAGGCCTGCAGGCCCCCCACTCCCACCCCCAAACGCTAGGGCCAGGTGGGCATAACAACCAAGAACCCCTGGCCGCTCCGGTACAAGGGAGGTCGCACGGGAGGGGAAGCGGCGGACTGAGGGAGGCTGGCAGCGCCCCCGCCCGGTTACACGCTCACCTCCCCCCGCCCAGCGGCGGCTGGCCCAGTCCCAGCTTGGCGCAGCCCGCGCGGCGCGGGAACCCTCTGCAAAGCCGGCGTACGTACATCGGGCGGGCTCTGCGCCGAGTCCGGGCGGCCCCCACGCGCTCCGCTCCTCTGCCCACTGCCTCCGTTCTGCTGGGGCGACGCCCAGCCGCTGCCGCCCGACGGGGAAGGGGATCGGCTCCCGCTCGACTGCTGGCTGCCTGTCTTCCGACTTTCCTCTCGGTGCTTGGGGCTCAGCCTGGGTCAGGGGACACGGGGCGCGGGACAGCTGGCGTAGGACGCCCCTCTACAAGAGGCCTCTAACCCGCCCCCCCGCACCGGACGGGGAACCCTTCTATTTAGAGAGCAAGGCCTCAGTCCTCTCCTGGCCTTGAGTTCCACTCAAGGTCTGGAGCGCCAAGCTCAGTTCCAGGCCCGCACTGGCTCTGCCTTGGTAAACTACCCACTGATTGGTTGCTGTTCTATCAGTCTGGCTCCCCAGCCTTTGCGGATGTTTAATAGGCAAGCCCCATCCCTCCAGCAGAAAGCTGAGCTCAACCACACCTTGAGGCTCCCAGTGGCCCAGGACCTACCTGCTCGGTGATCTGGAATCACTGTCCTGGGAGGAGAGTGAGGGGCTGTGGGAACTTCTGCTGCTGTGGTGGTGGGACCTCCGGCCTGCAGACTCCTGTGGCCTGGGAGAGAAATCAGCCTGTACCTAAGTTCTGCTTGACCTCCGCACGGGGGAATCCCTGTGAAGGCCTGATGCAAGCCACTGCCGACCAATATCCTCTCCCCCAGTCCCCTACAAAAACACATAAAGCCTATCTACACCGGTGCAACGCCCGGCTAGTCCCTGTGGGTCATTTATGGGAATTAGGAAAACACACCCTTTTCTCTAGATGGTCCCAGCCCCCAAGACTCTGGAGAGGTGCAGGGGGTTACAAGGACTGAGCCTGAAGAGACCCTGGACTGGGAGGCAAGAGGCCTGGGTTCCAGTTCCAGCTCTGCCTCTGACTCATGAGGGCGCTTGGCTTACTCTCGGGGTTTGAGTTTTTCCTCTGTCTGGCAGCCGGGCACAAAATGAGCCTCTGTGTCTCTGTGATCCAGATGGTCAGCTTCGCTGCATGGGGCAGGGAGGAGGGGCTGAGGGCACGAAGAAGGGGAAAGAGTGCTCACCTCTTCCTCTCTTTGTTCTTCTCTTTTCTTTTGCTCTTGGGGCTCCGAGATCTGCAGAGAGCAGAGACTTGGTGACAGCACGGCCTGAGCTGGGCAGAGGAGGGCCGCGTGGAGCCCTGGAGCTGAGCGGTGCCTCGGGTGGGCCTGCGATTTGTTCCTTCCTCTGACCTGAGCCTTCCTGGCAGGTGTGGGATTGCCCACCCCCACCCCCACCACTGCTGTGGTTTCTTCCACTGAGCCAGCTCCGTTCCTTCTCTGGTAAGTCCGGGCCCGCGATGACCTCCTGTCTGGGCCCTAACTGCTGCTCTCTCTGGGCGTACCGAAGGCTCATGTGGCCACAGGTCCAGAAGGAAGGGTGACTTGCCCTTATCTTCTGGCATAGGTCTCGGGGCAGAGCCCTCTGATGAGTTACCGGAGTGAGGGTGGCCCCTCCACACTTCGTGCCCCAGGTCTTCTCAGTCGGGGCCCCCCAGTTCTCTGGGGTGGGCTCCACAGCCTAGTTCCTGCCTTTGACAAAAGGACTGAGAGCCTTATGATTAGCCCTCTAAGGTTTCACCTTACGCCTGGTGCCACAGGTCTCTCAGCCCCACCCTCCCCTGATGCCACCAAATTCCTGCTCAACCCTTTTAGTCCTAAACAAATGCTTTCTTCTGACCAAAAATGGGATGATGCTAAGAGACATTGAAAGGTGTTTCTCACGGGAGCAGAGCAAGTAGCAGACAGGCTTGGTGGGGGGAGAGGCAGGGGCAGAAGTTTGCGTCTAGAACCCCTGTTGCATGCTTTGGGCTTTGGTGTCCCTGCCTGGAGCTCTCCAGCCTAGCTCCTCTCTAGGTCCTCCCCAGGACTGTTGGGAGGTGGCCAGAGGATCCGTGCAAACCGATAGTGATTACCGAGGGCAGCAATGCCCACCCCGACCCGTGAGAACTGCAGGAGGGGAGATATTGGAGGGCCAGGACTAGTGTTCATTTGGGCTTCTCCCCCACCCGGCAAATGATCACGGGCAAATTCCCACTGCTGGGGTGGAGCTGGGGACTCTGCCCCTCCTCAGGGCTGCCGGGAGGGGGTCCGGCTCTCATGCCAGCCGTGGGGAATGTGACTGCCACGCATCTCTCCCTCCGTGCTGAGCGTTCTACTCTCTCCACCCCTGCTTCTGCCTGGGCGCCTGCCTTACACTTCCTCCTGTCCTCTCTCCCAACCTCCCTGAGGAAGTCACTGCCCTGCTCGAGGCCCATGCTGGCCCTCAGCCCTGCCTACACGGAGGCCGACTCCACTACCGTCAGGTGTGTTGGGGGCCGGCACCCGCCCTCGGACACTCCACCTCTAGCTACAGGCCGCCCACCCCACCTCCTACTTACTGAGGCTTCCTTCTGCCTGGCATGTCCTTTTCCTGCAAATTCGGAGTTTCCAGTTCTTCTGCCTTCTTAACTGACACTCTACAAACACACCCCTTGGACACTGGACCTGCTGTGTAGTCTGGAAACTCTTGGGGTCCCCTTGTTAAGGCTGACTCATGGAACAGGTAAGAATTGCCAGGAGCTGGCCTGCACCCTCCTCCCCGCACCCCCAGTCCCCTGCCTGGCTCTGAGAAGGAGTCCCTGCAGCTGAAGGGCGGGGTGTGGCAGGACCCTCCCAACTGCTCTCCCTCGGTGGCCTCCTTGGGCCTTGGTCTCTACCGGGGGCACAGCGTCTCTCCATACGCTCCTGTCACACCTCCACAGGGCGTCGCTCACCTGTGCCGTCTCTTTCTCCTGGACCCAGAACCAGACCTGTGGGGCCATAAAAGGGTTCGCTTGAGCCCACCTGGGATGACTCAGGGGCACCCGGGCAGCAGCGTAGCTCTGGTCCTGGGCCCCGGGGGAGGAAGGGTACCTGTCTCTGTGGTGCTTCTTCACACTCTTCTTCTTCTTGCGCAGGGGTGAGGAGCTCCCGCAGCTGCGGACAAAGGAGTGGGAGGTGGGCGCTAGGGAACTGGGGCCTGGGAGGTGGAGGGAGGGACAGCTGAAGTGACTGGGGGAAGCTGGGTGCCTGGGACGCCAAGGCTGGAAAGGGGATTCTAGGCCATGAAGTCAACTGCCTGTTATACGGAGTGAACCGAGGCCCAGAGGGTCGGTGGGATCTCTAAGGGTAGCTGATGCAGCTGCCTGCGCTGCCCCCTGGTCATCCTTCTAGCCCCCTTGGCATTGTAGGAGAGGACGGCTTCAAACCCAAAGTATAGAGGCTGTGATGGTGGGATTGCTGGCCTCTGTGGGGGGAAAGCTGGTGGTGTCCGAGGTCCAGACCAGGCCTCCTGGCCCTGGAGGGGGCTGGGAATCTCACCCTCCCACAGAGCCCCTCCCCCAGCCCCTTCTGGCTCTTGCCCGCCTTCATCACTGACCTGCACTCGGAGTCTAGTCTCCTCTTTTTGCTGAGGGCCAGGGGGGAAAGAAGGACACAGTTGGATGGGGTTAGTTGGGCTCCTAGACATCTGTCAGGGTCTCAGGACAGGGGAGGGGAACCACAGATGAGATGCTGCCAAACGCCACCTCCCCCCGGCCAGTCACACTGTGGTGGTGAGGGCAAGACTGCCAGGGAAGGGCAGCGGGGTGCCCATCGGGTGGACCTAGTCAGGGGCGGGGTCAGCGTGTCCAGGTCTGGGGCCGGGAGCCAGTGAGTGACCATGCTGGGGACTCGATGAGGGGAGGGGACTTGGTGAAAGAGGCCCACTCGGTGGGTCAGGGGCAACACAGTGAGGGGGAGAGATTTAGTAAGGGCAGATAGGCTCAGAGAGGCGGGCTCACAAATGCAGACACCTGGGGGGGCCCCAACGCGCCCCTCCCGCTCCCCGCCGCCTGGCGGCGCTCTCACCGGCTCCTCCGGTGGCCGCTTTTCTTTTTCTTCTTCTTGGGAGGGGGCGAGGCCGAACTGCTGGACCAATGCTTGGTCCTGGGTGAGAAGGGGCGAGGGACAAGGCGGCGGTGAGGGGAAGACACCGCCCCGACCCCACACAGCGGCCCTGTCCGCCCCCGCCGCGCCGGGCGCTGACCTGTACCCCCGGTGCCCACGGTAGCAGGCGGCCGGGCAGTCGCAGTCCACCGGACCATCGTCTTCGTCGAAGGGCGCGTACTCCAGGCCCGGCTCGACGCCCTCGAGCAGCCGCGGGGTCTCCGCCACGCTGCCGGCGACACGGACGCTCAGCCCCCGCCCCCGCGGGCAGGCCCGCCCTGTGCCCCTTTCTCGGCGCAGCGCCCCAGGCCTGGTCCGCCCCGAAAAGTCCGCGGTAGGCGGGGTGCGGCCGGCGTCGGGGCCCGCAGCCTTGCGGGCTAGACAGTCAGTCGGGAATTTGGGGAATCCAACCCCGAGCCTTTCTTACAGCCCCCCGCCCCAGCCTTAACGGTGCCGTATTTTGCAAAAAGGAACGAAGAGCACCGAGGCCTTCCGCCTCTAATTTCCTATTCCGAGTTTCCCTCCCCTCCTCACCGAACGCGCTCCTCCTGAGTGAGGCCCCGCTCCTCATTAGGTCCCCTCCGCGCGCTGATTCTTTGTCCCCAAGTCCCATTCACTGCGCCCTCTCACCCAGCCCCCTTTCCCCTCCCGGGTCCGCTCTCGTGCGTCCTCGGCCCCCGCAACGTCACTGCCCCCTTCCCCAGCCCCTTTCCCATCTCTAAGCCCACTCCTCCTCTCCTTTTCGCTCGCTGGGCCCCCATCACTGAGACGGCTTTCCTTAGCCCAGCTGTCCTAATCCCTGAGCCTCCTCCCCCTGCGCACCCGCCTGGCTCCTTCCCCCGCACCCCTCCTTCCTCCAGCCCTGGCCGCTTCTCTGAAATATTCATAGCTTCTCCTCGCCCTCCTCTCCGCAGCCTCCAGCCTCGGGAGGCCTCCTTGCTCTTCTTCTGCTGCCAGGCTGTCATCCATCACTGCCCGGCGGCAGCAGGCGCAGGCCCCAGTACTCGGCCTGCCGTGGACGCCCCATCCATCTTGCAGAGCGCTCCCCTACACTCAGCAGGGACCCGGTCCTGTCCTCGCTCCTGGTTCAGGAGTCCCCAGCCTTCTTCTGCCAGATGTTTGCACCCTGTGAGCACGTCAAGAAATGACGCTCCCCCCTCCAAGAGGTAGTTGGGCTTAAGGCAAGAGCATGAGTTTTGAAGCTGCAGAGGTGCCTTCATCGCTGGCTGTCCCTGAGTCACTGTGTGACCTGGTGCCTGTCACTCCCCCCTCTGAGCCTCTTCTCCAAGATGACAGTGATAACTGTTACAGGGCTGTTGGGAGGATTCACTGAGGTAACAGGTGCTGTGCAACTGAATAAGCCTAGAAGCGACCCTCCAAAAGCCCAGCTCCAGGGTGGTGGCCCCTCACCTCCATTTTTCACTTCATGCTGGCTCAGGGCCCCTTCTGCCCTGGTTTTAATTACCCTCACTCCTGGGTGCCATTCACCTGCCTCCTTTTTATCCTGCCCTGAGAGGGGGCAGCCAGGATTTGGATTGGATGACAGAGTATTAAAAGCATGACATGAGCTTTGGATTCACAAAGACAGGTCTGAATCCAGGCACGACCAAGTTCACTGAGCCTCAAGGTCCTTATCTATCCACCGAGGGGGAGCATATCCGAGCTTTGAGGAGAGGATTACGTGAGCTTCTGCGTTTGAAGCTCCTGCTGTTCCCACCCATGGTCGCCTCTGTTAGATGGGGGGGGGGCCCTCCGCCTCACACAAACCAACACCATCTCTCGCAGGGAGAGAAGCGGCAGTGACACGCTCGAGAGAGAGGACAAGGAAGGCAGACCACAGCTACTGAGATGAAGGAATTTTCAGGGTCAAGTCTCCAGCAGAGCTCCCGCTGATCTGCTAATCTTGAATCTCGATAATGCCATTCAATTCCCAAACACCAACTTGTCCCTGGCAGCCTTGAAGTCATCCAGGTGTTACCGGAGGCTCTTCCGAGGTGATGGAGGAGGGGCTCTTGTCATTTCCCCCACCCCCACGGAGTCAAACGCCCCCATGGCCCTTCACTCAAGCCGCTGTGCTCCTCCCCACATTCGTCTTTCCAAAGTCAGTGGCCTCCCACCTCCTGTCCCTGTCCCCGAAGTCTCCAGCTCCTCGGCCTAGTCAGCACCCCACGCTCCCAGGGCCTGTCACCCCACACAGCCCTTAGCCACACAAGTGCCTGACACACAAAACATAGTCTTCAGCAAAACTCGAGGGCACTCCAACATTGTGTGGGTACGCCAGCGGGAGGAGGGGCTTCCATTTATCCAGACGCAAAAAATGAGGACGGTTATTCTTAAAATAAAATAGCTGAGTTTGGCTGCTGCCTTCTGCAGGGACCCTGTCTTGCGTCCTAACGTCTCAGCTGAGTTAACCACGCAGCCTAGACCCTCCCTGAGCTGCTCCTTCCCCTCACTGTGCCCTCCTCAGTCGGCTGGCTGCAACCCTGGGGACATCTTTCCCTTCTTCCTCTGTCCCAAGGACGGGACACCCTCCCCTCCCCCCATCCTCTCTCCCTGAGGCCTTGGCATGCGGCTGCTCTCATTCTTCAGGCCTTTCCGAGAGGTTTGCTGGAGAGCAGCCATAGGCTACAAGGATCAGGCACAGGGGCAAGCACAGAGATCTCAGAACCTTCTGGGGAGACTTGTCCTGGGAGTTCCGGAGATATCCATAGGAGTGGGCTGTGACTTCCTTTGCTAGTTTTGTGGGGCTGGTACAACTACATGTACTTTGCAAGATCTCCCAGCGTTTTCTTATGCTGTCTTTCCTAGGTGACAGTATCACTAATTAACTAATGTTTTCTAATGCTTAAATAGTTCTTGACAGTTGACAAATCTCATACTGAGACACTTGGAGAAACTGACTCTCCCCTCCATTTTACAGATGAGAAAACTGAGGCCCGGAGAGGGGAAGGAATATCCCCTATGGTTTTGGGAACTTTGAGTAAAGAGTGTAAGTTCACCTATGAACATGGCTTTGAGAAGCCACGTGTGCAAACAGGGCAGCCCTTGACTCAGGGGGCTGGGTTTCCCTGCTGTAGATGTTAGCTCAGCTGTCCTCTCCCCGCTTTGTAGGCACAGTCCTGGGGGGGGGGAGGTGTACGGCACTCGAAATTTGTTTAACATTTCCTGCTCTTAAGTTGATGTTTGTGATCTAGTTTACTTCTCACTACATCCATGGAATGGGCAGGGGAGGTGTTCCTCCCTGTGACAGAACAAAACAAGCCTCACAGGGTTGGCCAAAGCGGACCCAAAGAGTCTGATGCAGAAGGACCAAGAACATACTGAGGTTGAACACAGCACAGGACACGCGCTGGACCGGCTGCGGTGGGCAAGGTTCTGACCTGGGAAGAGAGCGCCTGTCACATGCCTGTCTTCACGCCAGCAGTTTTGCTAATTAACTGGTTCTGTTTCCTATTAGCCGGGAGCATAATGGCCAATTGACAGATGAATGAGCCCAGACAGAGGAGGGCAGGGCCCAGGCAAAGGCTCTGCCCTCTCCGCTCGTTCACTCGGACAGTGAGCCCGGCCTGCCAGGGGCCTGGAGCAGCGGGTGGCAGGGGCGAGGATGAGTCAGGCCTGGGGCCTCTCTTCTATGTCCTCAAAATGCAGGGCAAAAATATGACACTGTGCACACTATAATTACTAATGCAGGTGCCAGACACTATTTTAAGCACTTTATATGTATTTATCTCATTTGATCATTTAATGCTCAGAACGAGCCTCTAATGTGGGCACCACCATTAATATTCCCATCATACAGATAAAATCATGAGGCAAGAGAGGTCAGTCACACTGCATATAAAATCAGATGCATAGGGGGAAAAAAGGATGAATTTGTTCCTTTTGTTAGAAAGTAGCTTATGAATTTTATTTTCTATAAACCCTGTCTCCCAAACGTTTTGTTATATGATTATGAAAACAATGATTATATTTTGAAGATTTTATTTGTATTTATTTTTAGAGAGAGGGGAAGGGAAGGAGAAAGAGAGACACATCAGTGTGTGGTTGACTCTCAAGTGCCCCCTACTGGGGACCTGTCCCACAACCCAGGCATGTGCCCTGACTGGGAATCGAACTGGCGACCCTTTGCTTCACAGGTTGGCTCGCAATCCTCTGAGCCACACCAGCCAGGGCAAAACAATTATTCTTAAAAGTTGTCATTGTCTATTACAGTGAAAAAAGAAAGAAATGAACGACAGCAGCCACAAGAAGTCAAGAAAATGTGCATTCCTAAGAAGAGGTTTTACTTTCACCCTGGGAGTGTGTGCAAAGTGGTCTTTAGAGGCAGCCTCGGGTGGTGGGGTGTTTCGAACCTGGGCAGAGGAGCCTGGGTGTTTCAGGCTGAGGGCCCAGGACGAGAAAAGACACGGGAGTGACGGCACCCAGGGCAAAGCAGGAAATTGCCGGCGGGCCGGGCTGGCTGCTGTCGATGCTGAGAGTGGGAGACCAGGCTGCGTCCAGTCTGGGGAGGCCCTGAGTGCCAGGCCAGGAAGTCCGGACTTGACGGCATGGCTGACGGGGAACCCACAGAAGGTCTGTCGGGTGATACAGGGCTGCCCCCAACAGTCATTTTTAAGGACAAAGTCTCGTCCTCTCTCCAGGTCTCTGGGACCTCACTCCTCGTCTCTGTCACCTCTTCTCCAGAATAGGGAGCCTCCTGCCCCGTGGGGCTCCCTGCAGTTTCACCATCTGAGCATCTTCCAAAGGGGAAAGTCCCCCAAACACCTGCCTGACCACATCGTCCCTGGCAAAGCCTTCCACAGGCCCCTCTCCCACCCACTGTGGGATCACATTCAGATACTGCAGCACTGTGGTGTTCTGGTATCCAGTATGAGGGCAGACTGGAGGTGGGACTGTCACAAGAGACTGTCACTGGAGACAGTCCATTAAGTTAAGGAAGAAGGATGATCCCTGGGAATAAAAACCTCTGGGAGAGATGCGGTCCCTGCTGAAACCCTTTCCTGAGTGGGAGGTGTCATGGGCTCTTACGGTCCATAGGGAGTTAAAATCAGATGCACACAAACGCACATGCACACATGTGCGCTCAGTGGAGACCCTCCAGCTGGCTCTTCTTTGTCATCTTGCTGAGAGGGCATCGGATTTCTCCATGTCTCAAATTACAGGCTATGAGTGGGTGTGGGGTATCAGGGTCAGGAAGGCAGAGGCATGAGCACAGGGCCTGCTGGGTGGTCAGAGGGCTTCATGGACCCGAGGGAATCCCGCAGCTGGCGGAGAGGGTGGGGACACCCAGGGGAGACGAATGTGCTGAGGTCAACCCGGTACTCGCCGCTGCCAGGCCTCCCTGGATCATGGGGGATGGCGCATGGTACAGTGTTTGTCCCAAATTATGCTGGAACTCGAATCCCAGTGTGATGGTGTAAGGAGACAGGGCCTAAGGGAGGTGAGTAGATCATGAGGGTGGAGCTCTCATGAATGGGAGCAGTGCCCTTATAAGAAGAAACTAGAGACCCTGGCTGGTGTGGCTCAGTAGACTGAGCGCTGGACTGGGAAGCAAAGGGCTGCCTGTTCGAGTCCCAGTCAGGGCACATGCCTGGGTTGTGGGCCAGATCTTTAGTAGGGGGCACTGGAGGGGCAACCACACACTGATGTTTCTCTCCCTCTTTTTCTCTCTCCTTTCTCCTCTCTCTAAAAATAAATAAATAAATAAATAAATAAATAAATAAATAAATAAAGTATTAAAAAGAGAGAGAGAGAGACAGGAGAGCTAGCGTTCTTTCTGTCAAGTGAGGACATAAGAAGGAAGCAGTTGACAACTCAGAAGACATTCCTCACTTGAACCTGGTCATGATTTCAGACTTTCAGCCTCCAGAACTGTGAGAAATAAACTTTTGTTGCTGATAAGCCACCCGGTCCATGGCAGTTTTGTTACAGGAGCCTGAGCTGACCCAGACGGTGGTGGGGACCGTCTGCTGGTGACAAGGGTCTGCTGTGTGCCGGCGGCGATTCCTCGCACTTACTATTCACCGTGGCATTTAATATCCTCAACAGTGCTGTGAGGGGCACTAACGTCTCCATTCTGTAAGTGAAGAGGTGGAGGCCCTGGGAAGGTAAGGGCCTGCTCAAGTCCACCAGCTGGGGCATGCGGGACCTGGGGTTCATAGCCTGGGCGGGGGGGTTAGCCTTGAACTTAAAGGCTTGAGCGGGGAGCATCTGACAGCAGAGCCAGCGTGCCCCCTCCACTGCCCCACACTCTGAGCTAAGAAGGTCCCCAGTGAAGCAAGCAGACGACCCACCTGTCACCTCTCTGCCCGAGGCCTTGGTTTTAGCTCCACAAACAGCTGTGCCCAGCCCTGAGTAGCCCAGAGGGCGCCAGCAGCCTCCTCCGATTGCTACAGTCGCTCACTGTTTGGAGTGCCATTTTCACACCATTTGGGCTGCCTGAGCCAAAGCAGCCTTCTGGCGGAGCCCTTTCTCCGTGTGAAGGAGGAAACCGAGGCTTTGGAGCTAACGTTGCGGGGTCCCAGGACCCTGCCAAGTCTACGTGCGCCCCTCCCTCCAGGGCAGGAGTCCTCGCTGACGGGCAAGGCTTCGGATGCTGCTTCTTCCAAGGAGCCTTTCCTGACTGGCAGTGGAGCCTGTCCCCCTGGGGTCCCCGACTGAACATGCTGAAAGGGGCAAGTGGCCACACTGTCAGGAGTTGCCAGTGATTTCTGGTTCCAAGTTTCAGGTTTGTGGTGCTGCCCAGAGAGGAAGAGGCACACCTCCCCTCCTCGCCTCCCCGCTCCTCCTGCTGGCCCAGGGCTCCGCGTACAGCGCAGATCCTCGGGGACCTTTATTTTGATGATGGTGACAGGGCAATGTCCCCGCGGCATATCTCCCAGCATTTCTCAGTTCTTAAATGCTTCATTCATTCCTTCACTCACTCACTCAAGGAAAGATGGGATCGAGACTCCCGGAAAAGGTCAGGAATCATCCACTCGCTCCACTAAGGGGCGAGTTCCAGCTTTGGAAGGGATAAGATCCCGCAGGGAGACCTCCGGGACCTCCCTGCACAGGAAGAGACCGGGCACGTGACAGAACCTGGAGGGGACACCAACACCTGGGAAGTGGGCAGGGATGAGGGAGACAGCAGCAGCCATCAGAGAGGCAGGGGGAATTCACAGAGAACCGCATCTTGGAAGCCAAAGGGAAAAGTAGGCTTCCGGACAGGGAAGCACAATGGTGGCACCTGCCCGAGAGGTCGGGCCTGCAGAGGAGCACGTGCCATGGTGATGAGATGCAGGTGGCCACAGCCTGAGCAAGTCACAGGGCTGTGGGGGCAGGAGCCAGATCTCCGTGTCTTCTGGAAGTGGAGACAATGCATGCTGCACATTAAACAGAAATTTGATTGAGGAAGGAGAAAAAAATGTGGGCTGGTAGCCAGAAGAGAAAGCAGAATTGAAGGACAGTAACTACATTAAGAGGAAAGAGCCCAGGGCAGGGAAGAAAGGCAGGCCTGGGCTGGGAAGGCCAGAAGGTGGTAGGCAGGGTCCGGGTGGGGGCGCTCTCACCCTCTCAAGGGCAGAAACGGAAAGGGCAGGGGACCTACAGAGGAGTCCTCCTCTGCAGCATCTACCTCAGCCTCTCGCCCGCCTCAGTGTCACTTCCAGCCAGAGAAGCAGGGAATGTCAGAACAGGGTGGGGACACCGAGGCTTTGCCAAGGGAAGATGGAGCAGAGTGGATTCAATGACAGTCCCTCAGTGCACATCGCCTGCCAGGCGTCTGGCCAGCCTGCATGCCCGACGCTCCCAGGGACGGGCTGCCCCACCCTCCTTTGGCAGTCTGCTCCATTTTGCATAGTTTTGAGTGGTTCCCAGATCTTCTCTAATCTGAGACCCAGCTGACCTCCCATCCACTCCCCTGTTTATCCGAAGCTCTCCTGGGGGCCCCTAATGCACCGGTGCACCCCCTGTCCTGTGACCCGTGTGGAGATGTGACCCCCGCACTCCCAGCTCATGCTGCTTCCCTGACAAGGCTTTGGCCATCCTGGCAATGGCATTGGTGTGTTGGCTCTTACTTTCCAGGGTATGAGTTTACTCTGGAGGCTATTGTGATGATAAAAGTTAAGACAGAGGGACTAGCCTGGGGTCACACTGTCAGCCTTCCACAACACTGGGGTCAGGACATTTCTCAGGTTTCCTGATCTGCAGCCTGTGATTCCCTTTGCTGAGATCTGGGCTGCCTCCCCAGGGAGCAGGGGCAGGTCCCTGGTAATGCCCCCATGCCCAGACGGGCTGAAGCTCCCAGTGAACAGACTCCACATCTCTCTCCTCATCTTCCTTGTACCCAGCACCCCAACCCCAGAAGGAGCCTTGGGAAAGACCCCTCTGGCACCCAGCTGCCTGAGCCTGCACCCTCCCTTCCCCTGCGCCCGCGCGGGCGGCACTCACACGCGGCCTCCAGGCTGGTCCTCTCTGGTGAGCATCCCCTCCTTCTCCATCAGCATCTGCCGGAAAGTCCTGACCTTCTGCCGGGTCTCCTCCTCGGAGTACCTGCAGGGGCGCAGGGAGGGTGAGGGCTGCTCTCCTGGCTTCCGCTCCCCTCCTGCCCGTGCCTCTCCTCCTCCCCCAGCCCTCAGTCACAGAGCACTTTCCGGCTTGAGATGACCTCTCCGAGCAACGTTCTCAGCGCTGGGGCAGCTCAAGGCCTGCCTCGTTTGCACCAAAGCAGCCAACAAACCAACTAAACAAACAAGCCACCTGCCAAACAAAGGAATAAACTGAAGGAGGAGTTGTTCCCAGAGGTGGGGAGCCTGACTAGGTGAGGCCACCCTTTCCTCCCGCCCTCCTGCCCGCCCCCCCAACCCAGGTCGGGCTTCCCTCCCACTCCAGGCTGCAGTCACTCTCTGGATAAGTTTTAGGGAAAAGTGAGAATCTATGGATTTTTCTGCTTTCCTGGCCTCAAGGACATCTCATCCCCACAGTAGCCTCGGACTTTGCCATCTGTGCAAGGTCAAGGCTACCAAGTGGCTTGCTGGGGATCCCAGTGCTCTGTCCATCGCTTCCCTCTGCACTGGTGGGGGTGGGGTGTGGGTGAACCTGGGCCGTGGGTGAAAGTTCCTCTCTTCTCTACTCCCTTCTCCCTCCGCAATTCAGGTCTCAGGCTAGGGACCAGAGCCCAGAAGTTTCTGCCCTTCGTCCTTGCTCCCACACCCTGGAGTGAGTCCTCATCCTCTCTCGCGGCACCACTGTGGCAGCCGCTGCCTGGGCCTGCCAGCTCCTCTGGCCTTTCCCACTCCGGCACGTGTCCACACTGCCCAGGCCAGGGCATAGCAGGCATCCAGTGGCTGCTGTTGAATGAATCTTGGGGCCCCTGGCCCCCACCCTCTCTCCCTCGTGGGCTGCAGGTCATTGTCCTGGACAGAAAACACAGTGGCAAATAGCATGGGGGGCCCCTCTTGCCTCTGTCGTCCCTTTACCATTCACCCCCCGTCCACGCTGCGGGCCCGGCAGCCCCTGCCCAGCCTGCTCGTGGACTCAGTGCATTGCTCCCTCCTGGGGACCATACCCTTCCTTCATCCTTTTTGCCTCAATCCTTCTCTCCCTTCTTCAACAAGCACGTGTGGAATGACCCTGCCTTTTAAGAGAGCAATTTCACAATTCTCTTCAAAAGCCTTAAAAAAAATAGAAACACCCTTTGACTCAGAAATTAACTTCCAGGTTTACCCTGAGGAATAGTCATGGCTAGGCACAAAGATGTGACTCACAGGATGTTTACAACAGCATGGCTACCCTCTGATCAGGCTAGGTGCTGGTGTTTGTGTTTCCATAGCAACCTGCACCTCCTGGATCCTGGCAGGTGGCTCCTGTGCCAGTCCTTATCCATTGACTCCTCTGTATTCTGCACTGGCCTGGGAGGTCCCTGAGCAGGGACCTTGTCCTCTGGATTTCCACTGTGTCCCCAGCACCTGGCACCTTGCTTGCATGTGTGGCACCCCAAATTTTTGATAAATGAGTGACTGGTGATGGAGAGGCATCAAAGAGTTTGAAGGCTGGATTTTTATTTTGGAAAGATGGCTTTGGTGGCTGCGTGGCTAGAGGAGAGGGACCCGAAGGCAGGGAGGCTGGCATTGGGCTGCCGCGGGGGTTCAGGCGGGAGAGGCGAAGGCAGAGCTGGAGGGCGGGCCCGAGGGTGGAGGGGAAGATGTGGACAGAACTGTCTCGGTGGGACAATGGCTGGAGCTCAGGGACTGATTGAACACATTGGGGGCAGCGATAGATGGGGAGCACAGCTTTTTAACCAGGTGTCCTCTGACCCCCAGCTCAGGTCTGATTCTCTGCAGGTTCAGGGACCTGCGCACCCACCGTAGGGAGGGCTGAACCCTGCCTGGCAGGGGGCGAGGCCCGTCTCTCCTGACTCCCCACCCCAGCCCCAGGGAGGATGTGTGGGTGGGGGGTGCTCAGGCTGCACTGCACTGAGGCCTCTTACCCAGCTTCACCGAGCTCTGGGCCTGGTGTCCCCCTCAGTCCCTACTTAGCATTCAGCTGGAGGGTCCTTGTCCTCGTGTGTTGGTCGGTGCAGAGCCCTCCGAGGGCTGGGCTGGACCGGTGCCCAGGAAGAAGGATGGCGGCCTCTCTCTGAGCAGTGCAGGCACGGGGGAACTGCTCCCCCATCCCACCTCCTCAGGACACCAGCTTGTCATTGTCACCAGCACAGGGACAAATAGCATAGGCCCTTCAAAACTGCTCAGCCTCTGGCTCATAGACCCCTGGGAGGGAGACGCAGGCTGGCTGGACCATTGGCATGGGGCCCTGGCTGTGGCGGGGTTGGGGAGGAGATGGCTCCAGAGAATAACTGGGCCAAATCCCCTGCTTGGTCGTAGGGTCTCCAGGCCAGGGTCCAAGCCCCATGCCTGGGGGTTTATGGAACACATTAGGCTGGGAGATGGGTTTCTCTGTGACCTGGAATGGGACATGTGCAGGGGCTTGGGGCTCACCCCCAAGCTGGCAGGTTTCAGGCAAGCTGACTAACTCCAGCACCTGTCACTTGGGGGCTGGGGGGTTGGATTGAACCAACTTGGAGGCTTGCGGAGGACCACACTGTGCCCCAGGGTTTCATGCTGGGAGAAGCTGGGGACCCAGGGATAACATCTAATTACTGGGAAAAGAGGTCTCAAGTGTGGCCACCCCTTCCAAGGCTCCACTGCCCTCATACCTCTTGCAGTCAACCCTCTCGGCTGAGGCCGGAGATTAAGGGGTGAGGCAGCAGGGCCAGGCAGTCCTATTTTTGAGTCCTGGCACCACCCAACCCCCACTTTCTAGCTTTGTGACCTTGGATATACGTCTCTCAGCTGTGGCCTGTATATCTGTGAATGGCGTAGTAACTTGCCTTTTAAGGTTGTCATAGGATTAAGGGAGATATAAAGTTCTTTACACAACACATAATAGTTGCTCAATAAATTGTAGTGCTTGAGGATTTTTTGTTCCGGAGTGGTGGGAGCAGAGGGTTCCAGGTCAGGGATCACTGGGCCTCTTCTCTCTCCATCCCCAGGAGGCAAAGGCTGAAATGGAAGGGAGGCCGGCACCCAACCACCCACTCTCTGTGGGAGTGGCAGCATCGCCAATTTCAGGCCGTGCCGGAGGCCTGCACTGACCAGAGCCCCACACTGAAAGTCAGGAGCTTGGACAGCGGAGTGGGGATGGAGGGGACAATGACGTCTGTCTCCCTGTCTACTCTCCACTGTATGGGAAGGACATGCCAAATCTGTTGTTGCTTTGGGGACTTCTCGGGTTGCCCTGTGAGGCTGGGACGGGATGAGGGGACACTGTATTCTGAAAGAGGTCCCCAGAGTAGAAAGTGTTTGACTCTGCCTGTCCCTGACCAGACCCAGGGCTCCCGGATAGTCCCTTCTTTGGTCATTAATTTGTTGATTTGATCTTCTCAGTAGCTCTGCGAGGGCAGATGGCCTCACTATTCCGATTTTGCAGAATAGGCAACAGAAGAGGGAGACAGGAGGGCTCAGTGTTCCAGGCTCAGCCAGGGGCAGAGCCCGCCGCCACCACCGTTACCATCTCATCACACAACAAAGGGCCCCTGGTAGGGGGGTATTTGTGGCCAGGGTGGGAGTATCACATTGCACAGTCTGGGGGCTCTGTCCCCACCCCCACGGAGATTGCAGATTGTATACAGAGGCTACCCTGGAAGGTGACTCGAAATGCAGCATCAATCACCAGTGAATTAGCCGGCCATCCATCAATATTAAGGAAGGAATTGCTTTTTAATGGGGCCAAAGAATGTGTGTTCCCGTGACTAGTGGGAATATTTGTCAAATGTCTGAGAACCCGGTAAATAAATGCGAATGAACTAGTGTTTCCAGAAATGGATATTAATGACTGAACTTGATAACAGGGCAAGGGTCCCTAGTGTTTGAGGAGCACTTTCTGGGAACTGGCTGTGGGCAGAGGAGCCCTGTATATGCCTAAGTCCACAGGACCCTCAGAAAGATTCTGGAAGGCAGGTGTCCCTCTTTTACAGTTGAGTAACTGTGGCTTGTCCAAGGTCACAGGCCTGGGCTGGAAGGTTGGACTGTTGGGTTTCTGAGTGGCTGTGCCCTTCACCCGGGGAGGCTGCCACTAAGAGATGGGCGGGCAGGGGGATGGTGACCGGGAAGCATCTGCAGTGACGGCAGGGGGAGAGGAAGGGGCCCTGCTGCACATCTAGAGACTTAGTAGGTGCCTCCCAGAGAGGCACAGGGTCCTTGATGCCTGGGGGCTGACACCAAGGAGGTGACCAAATGCCATCCCTTCCGCCTCAGGCTGCCCTCATCTGGTAAAGAGCCTCCCAAGTGCAGTGAGGGAATGGGGCTCAAGGAGAAGGGGGGAGATTCAGCTCAGGGGTTGGGGACAGGGTGGAGGAGGCTGGGGGAGGGAGAGGAGCTCTGTGGAGGAGGTGCCTAGGGGTTCCCTGAAAGAAGGGCTCTGGAGGGGGAGGGCTTTCAGGATGGAAGGTTCAGTTCAGTATTCCGGGAGGGGAGAGGTGCTCAGGAAGAGAGTGGGGGTCTGAGAGAGAGAGGGGGCAGTTTTCGAGAATAAAGCCCAAAAGGCTGGCCCTCCCTCCTTTGTCATCCCCTTCGATTCCCAAACCACGCCCACACTCCCTTCCCTCCAGGACTCAGCCACCTCCACAGGATTTTCAGGTTTAAGGCCCTGGGGCTCTCTCTGCAGAAGGATACTCCATCCTACCCACTACTCAGCCCTGCCCTGGGAATCTCATTTCCTCTTTCCACATCAAAACTCTTTCTATCTGTCAGCTGGAAGCCTCCTTTTGGTCTGTTTTCAGGAGTCCTCATCCACCCATCTCTCCCTGCAGAGACCCTCCCCTCCCCAGCCTGGTTCCCGGTTGGAGGTGAGCACCAAGTCCCTGTGCCCCTTTCTTTCCCTTATAAACAGCATAGGTGGCCTCGGCCTGCCTTTCTGGTGGCCTTCCTGATGGCCCACTACTGGTGACTGTCTCTGAGCCTTGGTGTCTTCTTGGGCTTCGCAGGGATAGTGAGCCATGTCTTGGCTGTCCACTGAGGACAGACACAACAATCATGGTTTGGAAGGACTGCTATATGCGGGCTGTCCGCTGGGCTGTGGCCCAAGCCCATGCATTGGCATTTCGGGTTTCTCAGCTCGAGGACAGTGCATGTCCAATGGGGCTCCCAGTTGGTCTCTCTCCACGGCCAGCCCACTCGTTTCAAAGTACTATACTCTGGGCACATGCAATAGGGAGAGACTTTGCACATGCAATAGGGCTACCAGCTTTCCTTGGGACTGCACCAGTGGGTAGGTTTGTTCTCTGTTTCTCTGCCTTCAGCTCCACGTGTGAGGGCTGTCCCATCTCCACCAGACTTGCAAGGGAAGTCCCTCACAACCCCTCCTCAGCCAGACAAGTTACTACTCATCCTTCAAGGGCCATTCAAAGTCTTCTCATACCAGAATCTCTCCTGTGAGCTCCTGAAGCTCTTGGCCCTCTCCTGTCCTGTCCTATAACCATGATTCTAGCCTGTTTTGTGATGGAGTTGGTTGTTAACACGCTTGTTCCTTTTCTGAGATGGGGAGGGACTTTGAGGAAGCAACTCCAGTCCAACTCTGGGCTCCAGCATTGCCCAGTACAGTGCCCAGCACACTTGCGTGCCCCTGTGACTTATTTTGAACTACACAGGGTGAAACCTAAGCTTCTGGCTGATTTCTGATCTATTGCGCTTTCCAATCTGGCTGCTGCACCTGCTCGGCAGAGTCCAGGCAGCTCGAACCACCTCCTTATAGAGATCTTGAGTTGTCACCTATGTTTACATGCTTCTCTCCTCCACTGGACTGGATGTTTTTTGGAAGGCATGAGTTGTGTCTCCTGAACTTCTGTGAATCTAAGCCCAGTTCAGAGCTTGACACAGTGTTCAAGACATTTTGATGGTTGAATAAATTAATAAATGAATAAAAGTTAGGCTGGGCTTACAATGGTTCCATTCCGACTGGTTCAGACTCCCATCCCTTGCTGACTCAGCTCCAGGGCTCCCTACACTCGCTTGGCTCCGCCCTCCACCAACCCCGCCCCGCCCCCCGCCCAGTCCCCGCCCCTCCCCGCCGAGAGCCCTATCCAGCAGCCCACTTCCGGCCCTGCGGCACGCTCACCCCTGCTCCTCCATCATCTCCTGCAGCTCCATGCACTTAAGCTCCACACGCCGCTTGCGCTCGTGGTCCAGGATCTCGCGATGTGCGCGCTTCACCAGGCCTGGCTCGGCGGCCCGCAGGTCCTCCTCGGCCCGTGGCCAGCTCCCCGATGAGGCGCCCGGCTGCGGGAAGCCGTTTGCAGCATCGGGCGGGGACGGCATGCTGGCTGCTCCGTTGTTAACGGTGGAGGACATAGTGGCTGTCCCCGGAGCCGCTGGTGTTGGCCCTGCGGGATAGACACAGACATGAGGCGGGATAGTCACTTCTCGGCCACTTGCTAAGCTCCTTTCCTCGCGGGTTAATCCTGGAGATTTAAAAGTCCACTCAGGGCTCTAATCCGCTTCCCCGCAGGCTGAGGAGGGGGGTGGATGGTGGGTTTGCACCTTTGGGTCACACCTCAGAGCATGAGAGGGTGTTGGACAATGGGCTTTCCCCATCTGTAAGGTGGATGAATGCAGGCAGGCAGAACTATAGATGGTCTCTAAGTGCCCTTAGCTTGGAATGGAGTCATTTTCAGGGACCTAGTAACCACCTAGGGGAACCCTCTCTGCCTGGTACCAATTCTGGGCCTGGCTGCCTAGACCCTGCCCGCACACCTGTTTGCAACTCCCCTGGCAATCAAATCAGTTCCCAGGAAAATTTGTCAGTTTTATTCTTGTTTTTCCTTCAGGCTCAATGTAAACCCCCTCATCCCCAAGACACTCACTGTCCTGGCTTTGGCTGGTGGGATCACAGACCATGGGTGCTCCCACCTCCCAGTCTGCTCCCGGGGCCGCCCTGGAGAGGTGGGAAGACAGAGCCTTCTTCAGGCTTTGGGGCATTTCCACCACAGATGTAGTTTTCAGTTCCCACTTGGATTTGCTGACTTCTCTAAAGCCAACAGTCCAGGTGGGGGGCCTGATCCAGATCGAAGCCTACAGGACTGTCCCCTCCTTTGTTCTGGAAACATTGCTTCTGAGAATGTGACCAAAAGTGGCACTGACATTAGTTTTCCAGGCAGGCACATCCTCCTCCAGGCTCAGGGAGATGTGAGAGTCGGCATGGCTGGGGAGATAAGAAGTCCTAGCTCCACTCTAGGCCCAAAGTAGAGCACGTGCATGCATTTGTGCTGGCACACACGTGTGTGCACATACACACCAAGGACCCATCTTAACAGGGGGAGGCACCTCCTGAGCTATTTCCATTTTCTTTCTCCAAGGCTCTGCTAGTTGCTAAGCAACAGGGAGGCCTCCTTTCCAGGGAGTGGGATGGGAGGGAGGAGAAGGGTGGAGGGAGGTGGGAAGAGAAGAGATTGGGTATATCTGGACATCCTGGATGGATCTTCCCTGCACCACAACCCCCGACACACACTCTCCTTACTGGCCTTAGAGTGATGGGAGTGTGGAGTCTTCAGAGCCACAGAGACTGGGAGGCAGAGAAGAGAGAAAGGGACAGTGAAAGGCACTAGGGGCTCTGAAGGGAAGAGAGTGACAGTGGTGATGATAACATAACATTCTTTATGTGTCCATCCCCTTAAGTCCTGAGTCCCTGGGTTCTAGGCCAGACTCCTCTACTCCTTGCTATGTGGCCCTGCCCTGCTCTGAACCTCTGATCGCCACCTGTGCTTGGGAGCATCATTCAGACTCACTCTTCAGGAGAGGAGGGCTCTTGGGGATTCACAGACCAAAGCTGTTCTTTTGCCTCTCTCCACCCCAAACCCTGCAGGTGTCCTGCTGGTCCCTATCCCACCTCTGTACCCCAGCTCCACCAGGGCTTCCCCTGGGGTACCCCATAAGCATCACCCACTCCCCAGTCCCCACACAGAGCTCTGGGAACCCTGCTCCCCACCTGCCTTAGCCATGGTGCTTGGCTCACAGGTACCCCCTCCATATATTGGTCACCCGAGCCAGGGATATGTATGGAACTTAGAGACCTCCACTACCCTGGCCCACTAGAGCTCACCTGTCATCAGGTTTGGCCCCTCACCCCCTCTTCCCAACATCGCTTGCATTTATTCACTTTCCTCCCTCCTATTACCATCTCAGTCCAAGGCCCTCACTGGTCCACTCTGGTCTGTGTCCTGCCTGCCCCCTGCCCTCCGTCCATCCTGTATCAGCAACCTGGGAGGTCAGTCCAGGAGCAAAACAGACATGTCACGCTCTGATTAACAATTTCTAGTGGCTTCTCATCACCTTGGTTTAAATTTGAAACGTGGCCTGCCTTTTGGTCTAGCTGTAACCCACCCCCTTCTCAGCAGATTCTCCCTCTTTCTTGCCTCCAGGCCTTTTATTTGCCTTTCTTGCCTCCAGCAGAATGGGACACTCTTCTGACTCCTGCATGTCCTCGAAATCACTGTTCATAGGCATCACCACTTTCTGGAAGCCTTCCCTTAGCCTGCCCAGAGCCCTGGCCACTCACTGTTGTCACCGTGGGTTCACAGGCCTGGCTCCCCCGGGCTTGGCGCAGTTTAGTTTTCTGCTCCTGCAGAAAAGTGCCAGCAAAGTGCCTGAGCAGGTGGAGCTCAATGTGTACGGACAGAACAAATGGAAAACAATTGCAGTGGGAGCTGGGATGGAGGGATACCCGGCATGGCTCTTGACACAGCCTGCGACGCTGCTTCATTTTGCCTTACGCGATCTCACAGCTTCATCCCTTGCTACGCTTCATCCTGCAACCAATGTCCAGCCCCTCAACCTCTGTCATCTGTTCCCGAACAAGCATAACGCTCCTTTGTGCTTTTGCCCATGCGGTTCCTCAGTGCCAAAATACCCATTCTCCTCTTCTTCATCTGGGGAAATTCTACTCATCCTTCAGGACCCAGCCCAATGTCACCTCCCCTGGGAAGCCTTCCCCACTTCCGAGGAAGGACGAGTCACTCCCTCCTCCACTCCCACTGCTGTCGTCCTCCCTATTTAGATACTGAGGTTCAACATGCTGTTTTCATCTGACCCCTGTTCTAGACTGTGAACCCTTTGAGGAGAGTGGACTACACTTTCATTCAGCTCCTCAGAGCCTCCCCAGCCCCTGGCAGTGCAGGAGACACACTGAAGGCGTGGGGAGGAAGTGCTCAGGCCCAGCCGGAGCCTTGGAGGAGCCAGGCTCCCAGCGACGCTGCTCTGCCGGCTCACCCTCTGATGTGGGTGAGGGTCCCCAGACTAGAACTTGATCCAAGCTCCTTGAGGACAGGAGAGAAGAAGCTGATGGGGGCAGTTCTGAACACACTCAGCTCTCCAGGCCCCGCAAATTCTCCCTCTAGCACCAGGAAAATGTCAGGGTGAGCCTGCCGGGCTGCTAGGGGCGGTCTTTCAGGAATGCCTGAGAAGGAAAGGAGAGGGGTGCGAGGGCACAGGGGCGGGGGCAGCCTGCGTTTTCACTAGATCAGACCATGGATTCTACCAACTTCTGATGAGTGGGAGGGCGCCAGGCTGGAATCTGAAAAAGGTTATTAAAAGGATGACCCTTGAACCGGTAGTGGAAGAGCCAGGGGTCATTGCACACTGAACCCACTTCTCTCCAAGTGAGGGTTGCTGGACCAGCAAGCCTGGGAGTTACTCATGCTGCAGGCACAGGGTCTGTCCTCTTTCCGAGGCATCGGGTCTTCTATGGAATCCTTGTGAGCTCTTGTAAGGCAAAGGGACAGCATGCTGGTGGGGACTGCTATTCTGCACTGTTGTAATTGGTGGATGGATTGACCTGTGTTCAAGAGAGCTAATTAATAAGTCAGTGTCATGTTAGATGGAGGAATTTAGTGGAGGACCGGCCATAGGGCTCTGTCCTCTACCACTGATCTGATACGCTCGCCATTGACTGGAGGGAACTTTGACAACCTGATGATCGGATTGACGGAGGACACCACCTAGGAAGGCTCATAAATTCAGAGTCAGAATCTGAAAGAACTCAATGGACTGGAAGGATGGAGGAATCTAAGAAGGTGAAACAGGATAGCGAGAAATGCCACATTCAGCAGCTGGGTCCCAGACCAACTCTCAAAAATCGGAGTGGGGTAGACGTAGTTTGGAAGCAGTGTATTTAGGGAAGGATTTGGGGGTTTTGGATGGTCAGGGACTCAACCTTGATGCAGGTGCTGAAACTGCGTGTTCTCTTACACCCCATCAACAAAAATATGTGTAGGATGAGAAGACCAGAATATACAGGCTACCAGAATCCCTGTCTTTAAATAGTTGGAGGATTGTCGGGGATGTAGGCCAAACCTGGCTGAATCTTCTGGGAAACTTGTAAGAAATAGGTAGGGTTGCCAGATTTGGCAAATAAAAATATGGAACGGGAAGTTAAATTAGATTTGAATGTCATGAATTTCATGTTTGGGACATACTTTTACTAAAAAAAATATCCACTGTTTATCTGAAATTCAAATTTAGCTGGGCGCCTTGTATTGTATATGTCAACACTACCTGGGAGGCAGCCTAGACCTACGGATCAAAACCTCTGCAGGTGAAATTGCTGACACTCCCCAGGTGATTATGATATAGACGACTAGCAACTGGGAGCCCTGTGGGAACAGCGGTTCTCAAGTGTTATCAGGCCTCAGAGTCACCTGGAGGGCTTGTTAAAGCACAGAAGGCCGCCCCGCCCCTGGCCGCCCAGGTCCTGACTCAGCAGATCCGGGGAAATAAATGTCTGAGCTTTGGCATTTCTAGCTAGTTCCCGAGTGCTGCCCTTTGACCGCACGGAGAGCGGAGCGAGGCCCTCGCCAATCTCTTCCATTGTGGCGCTGCTCCCTTCGGAGACTCACGACTGCGGGCCTTTGTTCCGGAAGACGAAGCCAGAATTCCTGCAGGGAAGTCATCTAGTGTGGATTTCAGCTCAGTCCGAGACAGAATTTCCCCCCTAACAATCTAATCTTAACCCCCCACCCCACAAGAAAACCTCGGCGGTCCCGTCCACCGCAGGGCGAGTGAGTTCCCCTTGCCCGAGCTGCGCAAACAGGAGGGCGATACCGCACTCACTCAAACACTCCCCCAGCGTCTGCTCCGCCCCGCCCTGTGGAAGGCCGAAGATCTCAAGGTGAACAAGACCCCATCCTGGCCCCCTGGGAGCTCACAGGCTGCTTTGGGAAACCAATAGGTATCGGGTGTAGTGTGATAAAACACAATTTGAGGAGTGTCTCCAGCTTTGCTCAGGGCAGGCTTCCCAGAGGGGGTGGGATGGCTGGAGGCAGGGACACCAGGGCAGGTGAGGCCTGAGCAGAATTCAAAAAATAGACTTGGCAAAATGTGACGGGGGATG